ATGGATGAAAAACATTTAATGTATTAATATCAAATATTTATACAAGTAATAAACATACGACTTAAATTATTTTACAGTTAAATGATTATTATTTCTGTAAATATTCATTCTGAAATTATACTATACCAAAACTACACGCGTATGTATATACAAAGAAGATTACTGAATAGCCACGTCCGTGACGCATCATCATTATCACTTTGGCAATTAAGCGCGCGCCTATTTCTGGAAAATGGACTTATGACCTGCGTTTATTTTTTATCTGCGTTTCATTGTTGTAATCTTTCAGCTCAAAACATTCACTGAATACAACGTATAAATGCTGGTAATGAACTGCCGAAAAATGTACACGCGTGTATGTGCACGAGAATCTAAATAAATTCTAATATGTATTAATGGTATGAAAAATACTTAATAATATGACCAACATTTGGAGGAGATCGCTTCATATGTTAGACAGAGTGATCACATTTATCGACCAAAGTGGTTACACCTTAAATGATATAGCAACTGCATTTATTGATAAACTGTACACTACTAAAGGACAAAGTTTGAACTGCCTTGGAGATGTCTTTTACCATTTGAGTCAATCGCTACATGTAAGAAGGTATAATTTAAATGATTATTTTTTGCCATTATTATTTTTGTATTTCATTAAATTATATTTTGGAGATGTTTTATTATAGATATTTGATGGATTATGCCTTTGTTTATGCCTTATTCGACGGTTCCTCCCATTCATATATTCTGACAGTTGGACTAAACGACGTATCGTTATTTATACTTTGAAAAATTGCATTTTTGACACAGAGAAGAATCATGAGTGGTTGTTAAATTCCGAAGTGAATTTATTGTCATACTTGTTGTTGCCACTTGTAATTTTAGAAGAGTTTGGAAATGAATATTACTATAAATTGCCAAGTACTATTTACTATCATCCTGAAACAAAAACTCGAGAGGCTGATCCAGAAATAAGGTAAATTGTTTGATGATAGACGGATTCACGAAATTAATGCATTACGTTATTTTAAACTTATGATTTTAGAAGCATTACATCAACTGTGTAACAAAAGTGGGTAGAGAAGCACTGAAAAACAAAAATATATATTTCATTAAGTATGAAATATATATTTTTGTTTTTCAGTGCTTCTCTAGAGAACTTCAAAAATGGGAGACGGATCAGAGATGCTTTTTGGCGTCTGAAAATGTCATGAATATGTTGATAAAATAAACATTTGTGAATAGAATTTTACTTATAGTAAAATATGATTTTTTATATAAAAGAAATTTGTATTTATTTATTATAGGACCGAAAAAGAAATCGGCTTGGACAACTTGAAAGAACTAGAAGTGCCGTCTGAGATGTTCGCTAAAATGCGACTTTATTAGTAATACATAGATAGTGCAAAAGTTTATATTATAAATATATATATAATATTCTAAAAGTATTGCACATACAGTGTACATACTCGTAATACTTATCGAACGAAGAAATGAACATAAAAGTTAAAGGTAATTATAACATTCGATTCTTTGTATCTCATTTCTCATATTGCACTGCCCCGTATTTATCATTAATAATAAGCTATCAGGTCCAGCGTAGCGTAAAGAAATATCATAACTTAATCTTTATCGCTTATCTAAACACTGGTCTTTAAAATTGGAATAAAATGTATAATATTTTTTTATTTTATACTGTAATTTACGCGCTAAAATCTCTCTCAATATGAAGACAGGTACAAGTAGTTGCATATTATTTATCGAGAAACGACTAATTGAATCACGATATGTTCGTGAATAATCCTTCAATCATAATGCGAATGGCAAGACGTTACACAAATATCATAGTATTAAATATTAGATATATGAGAGTACCGTTGGAGATATAATTTAGATATTTTCAAGGTAAGTAGCCGAGTCCAGCTTCGAGATTGATTGAACTTCTCGTACTCGACGCGTTACTAGCCCTTCTCGTGACACGATTCTCGCCTGCACCGAAAACCGCAGCGATTTCCGCGCTTTTTTTAATAGAGAGCGCTTCGTGATGCGCCCCGGATCTGCCGCTACCGCGGGAAGAATACTTTTTGTCTCGTTCTGCGCCACCGACGTAAACCAAACGGCCCTGAGTATCTCTGGCGCTGACCACGAGGACTTTTTCACTGCCGGACGACTGCTGAGATCTTCTCCCTGGACTGAAGAGATCGTAGTCTAAGGCCAAGTTATCCGAACTACCGCAAACCGGCGATGATCGGTTCTGCAATGGGAATCATGCAAATAGATTTTAATACGATTGCAAAATTAAAATAACAGATTTAATGGTCAAGTTCCTTGGCTACCTTGAGGAAGTCGGTGTTGCGCGACGAACTATGACTACTAGTCAATCTCGAACCTCGGATCCTCTCGGGACTGTCCCCTCTGCTGAGCGTGCTCTCCGACGGCACGATTCCCTTCTGCCTGAGTTGCTCCAGTATAGTCGGCTGTATCGGCTTCCTTGCGCAATAACACTTGTTGCTCTCGGAGCAACTGTCAGTGTCGCAAGCGCAAACAACCGTGTTTCCCGGTACAGGCGTAGCCTGTACTCGTCTGGACAATGAGCAGTAACACTTATCCGCTGATACGCACGTACACGACTCGGAGTCGTAGCTGCATTCGCTGCAGCTCACATATCCGCTGCTGCTCCTATTCGCGGTGGCACCCATGCTGCGACTAAGTCGTCTACCTGTATTAATTTCGTAATTATTGTGCATTTAATAAGTACAAATTATACTGAGATTAAGATATTTTTTTTATAATATTTGTTTTATATTTTATTATATTCTGGAAATTGGAGAAAAGACAAGGCTACCAAAAATCTAGAGCTGATTAAAATTAATTTTGATTTTAATTGCGATATTTTTCTACATACATGTGTCACTGTCTTCCGAAGTTGTGTGACATATCCCGTTCTTGCTCTTTCTCCGTGAGGATTTTCTCCTACCGAGTCTACTCGCCAGCACGCGGTTACGATGATTATTCCTGACGTCGCACGACGAGCTACTGCCGAAGCTATCGTTCAATCTTCTCGCCGGGAATATCACGGAAGTGAATTCCGTGGGGCCACCTTTCAATCTCGAAACCGACCTCTTTATGGCTCTGCCCAATAAACAAGATCGACGACTCGATCTTCGTCTTTGTGGTCTTCGCCGTCTTTTCATGATACTGGCGGATCTCTGATACAATTCATCTTGCGTTAAGGTCGCGGCCAGTTTCAGTAAGAACTCCTTGTACAGCGGCTTCAAGTCGTTAAACGACATACCTTCCGGATCTGGGAAATTATCAAAATAATTAGATCTAAATCTTTTTTTATTCAACATTACATTATTTTGAGAGTAGATTGTTACCTATGATAGCAGCCAAAATGTCATCCACGCTGGTCAAGCCCTCCTGATTCCTGAACTCGTCAAACAGCTCCGTGAATCCGAGCGGAGTGCCGCCTTTGACGTTATTGGTTCTCCGAGTGCTTCCTGAAGTTAGGAAACTGCCTCTTCTAGGCAACTCGACTCTCGTCATCAGGTCTCCCCTGTCCACGTCTACGTCGCTCTGCGACCTCTTCAGCGCGTTCTCCTGTAGGATCCTGTTCGCGTTCTCCGAATGACTGACGGGTGGCTCGCTGCCCGCTCTGCTTCTTCTTCTCCGAGGATGACTGTACTCCGGCACGTTCAACGAATAATCCGCTTGCTCTTTCCTCAACGGTTTGTCCATGGTGACGACTCGGCTGACTCTTTTGCCGGAGTACGCTCTCTCCGGGTCCCTCGAGCGCCTCTGTTGATTTATCGTGCCGTCCGAATGTTCGTGGTGCGACTGATAGTGTCCATTATTCTTCAAGTTCTTCGCGTAGAAGATGTCTTCCTGACAGCTTCTCATCTGGCTGTTTCTGTTGTTCTTACTCGTGTAAATGTCCTCGGTCCCCAGACTGTGGATCTTATCGGCGTCCTCAATGCGCGGACTGTAAACATTTTCCTTCTTTCTACCGACCTGCTCGTAAGCACAGCTCATCTCGTTTCTTCCGGTCTTATTGACCTTGTCGTATATCAGAACGCTGTCGATTCCGGAGGAGTATAATTCGCAATTCCCGGCGTTTGCTCGATTTAAATCGTACGATCCATAATTTCTTTCGTAAATGTCATCTTTCATATCTGCTGATTCCCTCCTCGGATTGTTCCGTTTGTACAGTTTCTTATACTTGTTCGGCTGCCTCTCGTAAATTCCATTTGTATTGTTATCACAAGCGCTGTAAATTTTATCGGGATTGTTGGACTCTATCTCGATCCTCAAAGAATTCTGATCTTTGGCAGAGAACATCTTGTTCTTCGAATTTTGTAGCTCCTCGTTTCTAGACAATACGATATCTCGATTGTTCTGTCCCAGATTGCTCTTCTCGAGCTTGGCATTGTCTCGTTTTCTTCCGCGCGCCTCAAGAATGTCCTCCGCCTTCACGTCGGAGTTCTTCTTCTTTCTACGTGGTACCTTCTGCAAGCTAGGCTTCCCGCCTTCGTCCTCCGTGACGGAGCTGCTGACGGAGGTCTTCTTGGTTCTTGGCGGTCTCACAGGATGCGGCGCGGTCGGCCTCGGTGGCGGAGACAGCAGGCAACTGATCCTGCTGCTGAGACTGGGCTCGCGAACGCTGGAAGCAACGGAGGCCAGACTGATGCAGCCGACACCGTTCGTGTGACGAGGTCGTCGTCGATTCGCGTCCAGATCGGCGAGAAGTGCGCGATACAACGTGGCCGCGGCCGCTATTGCGTCTTCCTCGGATTCGCAGGCGAACGCGTGGCACTCCAACAGCCTGGCGGCACCAGGTCGTCGCATCACCACGGCAAAGATCGGAGGATAGAAGTTCGCTTCATTCTTTAAACCGCGCATTGTCCTAGAAATAGATTTAAAATTAAAAATCTATTCCAGAAATTTTATTTTTAAATATATAGATATGCGCTCTAAACGTTAATATAATAGGCAATGCTATCTAGATCTTTGTCTTCCCAAAAACTTAATTATAATAACGCATTGTGCCCACCTGTAGAGCTCGGCGTGCTTGTCTTCCATCGTCTGGTCCTGGTCGCCGACCAAGGGTAAAAAGGCGTGATGCACATCGCCCGATGGTATTCTCTTACATCGGAGTCGCAGGGCACTCCATACCGCTATTCTGCGGAAAGGATTATTCTTCTCGCAGACTTCGCTCGTGCGGAACGTCAGTCCGCGCCTGGAGACCTCCAGCTCGGCCCTCACGCATCCTTCCATACGTTCCAATAGCTGACGAAGGGGTTCCTGAAGACCTCGTACGCTCGCCACGCGTCCACCAACTGGGGCAGCTCCCATGTATTTTACCTATACGAAAGCGCAAAATATTTCTATTTTCCTAAAGAACGTATTTTTAATGCAGAAAAAACAAGGCAGAGAAAATAATTTAAAATTTGATACGTCAACTGGACGTATCAAATTAAGCATTGTCTTCGTCAATTAATATCTGCTTTTTACCATTTGGAGTAAGTTATTTCATTGATATGATCACCGAGAATAAAAAGTCAATGGAGTTTCGAACAGCGTAAAAACTTTTGTTTACTTCAGACATTGTGAGAGACTGACGTGTTCATGTCAAAAATAGCACTTGACAAAAGGGCGGGCATTCTTTTTGTGCGTGTCTGAAAGTAAGGAAAACCTGTTTCACACGATGGGCAATATTGAAGATAAACTGGTGGGATCGTTAAACGGGAATTTTATTGCACATTTTGCGCGTTTCGAACATTTTAAAACTAGTATCTCCGAGGAATTTTATCGCGTCGCCGCTTATTTATTCGCTACCGCTTTAATGTCTATCCTGCGGAATGTGTTGAACATTGTAATATATGTATATTGCAATATACATAAAACTCGAATCGTACTTTGTATATGAAATTTCGTTCCTCCGATGAGAAATAAGGTTAATTGCTTTTATCATGTAACTTTATCTGAAATTCAACGATTCGATATTCGAGCGAGAGGCGTGACTTCAGCCGTAAAGAAGACAGGCGGGAGAGAGTCAATGCTCTTGATTTTAACAAACAGCTACCGTGTCATTATTGATCAATTGCCACGCCTAATCGGGTTCTCTGATGTAACTCTATCGATCAGCATCTTTTATTCGATCTATTAATCAGCATCTTCTTTCGCGAGCTCCAATCAAAGTGCGCGAAGCGAGGCGAAACAATGCGGCGGGGCCCATAAAACAGGATACCGTGTCGGCGGCGATAAAGAATTCGCATACCGGTGTAACAACTGAAGGAGAATTTTTCAGCGCTCCGAATAGTTTATGGAAGTCCGTCACGCTTCGCGGATCGTGAGCGGAATGAAAGTGACGATTAAAAATTCCGGATCGACGCCCCGAGGAAAGTCGAAGGACTTTTCGCGACCCTTTTTCGCGAATCGAGACACGTCCGCGAGTATGGCGAGTATGCAATATTGCAACGTGCGACAGTACGTAGTAATACGCACGCTGAATGTAGATCAGATCGAATTTTTATGTATCAAAGTATCCAAGGTTCCCTCAGAGAATGCATTAATTATACATATTGTAATTTTATTACGTAATTAATCGTATATAAATCTATTCTAACATTATATTATTTGTACTGTTACGATTTCGAAATTGTAAGCCTTCTTGCAATTCTATTTATAATTAATATATGTTACCTCAAAGCGTTTTCTTCGCCTATTAAAAGTGTACTTTTATATCGCACATCGCAATCTATTATAATCTCAAAGCGATAATATCAGCTATAAATATACGTACTAATATATGAATTAATTCACACGTCAAAAAATTTAATTCTGCTGTATGCGAGACCGATTAAACCTCAAAGGGTTTGATATCATCTCTCTCACGTTAAATATAACAGAACGGATGTATAATTTGCTTTCTCTTCTGATTTTTACAATTTCTGTATATACTATACATCGCTCCTTAAAAGATCAGCGATTCTTTCCTTTCTAACGAGCAAATAGCTCGTAATTATACGTCGATCTCAATTTTATTTCTGACACGGAATCAGCACGATCGTCAAGGTGATCTATGCGAGATTTCTGAGGCGGAAAATGGATACCATCCGACGTGCTTCTTTTCACAAAGCTTTTCACCGTTCTTCTAGATCCGAGATCCCATCTTCGATGAAAATATATAAGATGACTTGGATTTCTGAGATCCGATCTTCGATGAAACGTACATACAAGACGATTTGGATTCCCGAAATGGGAAAGGCGAATTGATTAATAAATGAATTTTATTAATTATGATCGCGAATAAAAGAAATTAATGTACATACATATATGTGAAATCATATCTCTGCTCGAAGGAGAAGCTAGGTCGTACAATTATTTTACGTCCTTCAATTTTAAGTATTGTAGCGCTCTCTTTCGTGAAATTTCGTATAGTTGTTTTAATTTTGACATTGAAACGAACGCGCATGCTCGCGAGGTCACGTTCGCTGGCGAAGTAGGTGAATTTTTCGTCGCGGTACTTAAAGTCCCTTGAGAGAACGGAAACGGAATCACGTTTTGGCCATGCGGATTCGTGCGAGATTTTTCGAGCGAGAGAGGACGTGTGCGAATGCACAATGGAATTAACATAAGTGAAAATGTACAGGCGCGCGCGCGTGTTCCCGCTACGTGCGAGATTTAATCACCGCGAGATCCCCGAACCTGAATCCCCCGACGACGACCCGACGGTTCGGGCAAAAGTGGTGTGCGCGTGCATCTCTCGCGAGTGCTCCACGTGCGTAATTATTTGTGTCATTACCGGCAGGATTGCGGCGGCACATTCACCGGGCGTTCCACTTTCGGCCTCCACCGAGGCGAACATCGCCTCGATGCGCGCCTGGACGGCGCTGTTCACCCTCTTCTGCTCCTCGTTCGCGTCGTTGCCCGGGATCACGACCGACAATCCGGCGTACCACCCTCCCAACGTCGAGCTGCAGATCGACCTATGGTGATCGAGATTCGTTAATGGAAAAATATTTAAAAAAAAAAGAGAAATAGTGCAAGATCAATGTTACTACGCTCTAATTGATCAAATGTAATTATAGCACTTGAATAAAGATAAAAAGTAAGTAGCGTAAGATCGATGTTAATCCCCTGCTGTTTTTAACTGGTCAAATGTATATAATTAAAGTAATGCAATTTATTAAGTTCACCTGGAGTCTTCGAACAGCGCGTCGATCTGCGCCTTGCTGCGGAGGGAGCACTCCGAAGGTGGCCCACCCAATCGGAACCCATCCTCGTAATGGGATATTCCTAAGGTCGACATGTTTTGCCTGAATGTTACGCAACCCGTTCGAGATGCGTGTGTTCGCAAATTGTTTTTCTATTGTGTTATCCGCTGACGTCATTCGTTCTGAAAAAAGAATGAAAGAAAAAAAAATGAACATTATTATTGCGGTGTCCTCAATTAGAAGAGAATTATTATAGCTGATGACATAATTCGCGCTATTTTTCATTGATCGTATCTAAGAAAACTCGTATACGGTAATTATTCGTATCTGCTTGTTCTAACAACCTTGTAGAAATTTTAGTCAAGGTTTCCCGAATGACCCGAATACGATATTAATGGTCTATCGAAGGAAAAGTTCTTAGGACCGTACATACGCACAATCGGGTCCTTCGGCTTTCATCTAGTATTCGCGGCACTCATTACCGGCGTCGCGGTGCGTTAAATTTATGCGAGCACCAGGCGGTGCGTGAATAATTAAAATCGCGTAGACTGCAGGACCGGGTCAGGCCTCTGCAGTACTTCTACAGTTCTGCAACACACCACGAGATACGTGCCGACAACGGTAAAAGTGATCAGAGATCAGGACAAAAGGAAAATGCGGACAATGAGCTCGCGATCGTCGATGCGTGACGGATAAAACGGTTGACCGCGGCACTGGCGATTTGAATTTTCTTGCACGATGATGTCGCGATTATGCAAACGCTACCTAACTCGGCGTACCGGTCAACGTATTAAACGATGAGGGTTTTACTATGCATATAAGCGTAAATTAGAGTAATAAAGAGTACTTTGCTCCTTTGCCTTGAATCGATATCAAGGTCATTGTCCCGTAAACTAGAAATCGTAAAAACTGTTATCCACTGGAATATACACACACATTTTATATATATATATATATATATATATATATATACATATATAGAAAAATTGCGTGTTTATCTGCTGCTACGGATTTCACCAATTGTTGAAACTGTACGCATTTCTTCATTAACGTGGTACGCGCGCTGCTTTTTTAATAACTTTCGAGAAAACGGTGCTGTCGTCCAAGTGCGAAGTTTCAACGAATTCGCAAAAAATTTATTATAGTTTCTAAAATGATTTCTTCTTAATCGAGAAGGACATAATCGATTATTGTTCGATTATGTTTTGTCACAAATCTCTCATGATTAAAACTACATTTTTTTAAACTAAAAACTTTAATAAATTCAGTTAAAATTAAATTAACATTTAATACAATGTGTGTGTAATTAACGTTTTTTATAAATTAAATGTATTTAAATTGAAAATTAACATTTTATAAAGCTATTAAAAAATTTCAAATTACAAATTTTATATCACTAGAAGGATATACTTTTGCGATGAAGATTCAATGTCAGTCTCCCGTCTGTTACGAGCTAGCTGTCGCGCGATGTCTATAGAATGCTCACAGTTAGGCTTTACAGTTATGGACCAGCTGGATGTGCCGGCAACCTAGCCCGGCCGGCAGCCGAAAGGTGTCAATGTCGAGTCTCGGGGCCTAGGTATTACGCACGCAATCTGGAATAACTGTCAACCCGTGCCCCTCTCGTGAACCTGAACGCATGCCGACCTCACGCGCTGACCGCTCGCGCTGATCGTTACACGACGGAATCGTTTTGCCAAACAGCGCTGTAATTACGATTCGCTACGGTTGACCGAGGGGCCAATGGCATTTCGAGAAAGAGCAGAGGCTGCGTCACGATAATCATCAGTGGCATCAGGGTAATTAACAGGGCCGCTTTTGTAGCCGCGTGCACACCTTGCTATTTAATCGAAACGGAAGTTTTCTCTCCGCGCTCTACTCATCGCAAATAGCTCCTGACACTCAATTTTCGCTTTATACGGCATAAAACGTGTGTGATGCCACTCATTATGTCGTGAGATCGCTCGCGAGAAGACTGCCTCCTTGCTCATCGCCTGAAGCCGGCCCTGAATAATCACCGCCGGTGAGCTTCTTGATGCCGGTGACCCAGTTTTCGGTTTGCACGCTACCGTAATCACCGCAGCAGCACGAATCTACCTGATTGACGTTATTAACTGTCTATGGCTACGCATTTGAGTTGAGGATGACGTTCGAAAAATTAATGGCCTCTAGCGCGCCGCGCGGGGCTGCGAGATTCGCGAGCGAAAACGTTGCAGGAGAAGATTCGCAAGCGTGGACGAGGAAATCGCGGGAAAATAAAATCGATCTGCGAACCGATCGTTTGATCCGCATCCGCGCGACGCTCGTCCGCCGACGAGATACCTACGCGTCCATGCATCCGTTTTTCCCGAGAGCGACTCCTTGTTTTCATAACTGTCGAAGCGTCCGCGATGTGTTTAAGGCAACGGTATTAAGGTCGGTGAACAGATTACAGCATCACGTGTCAGTGCGTTGTAGACGAGAGCTGGTCGATATAATATACGCGCTCGACTTTGATGCGTGTGCGTCGTTCAACTTGCAATTACCAGGTTCACGGCTCGTTTCCCGCCTGCATCTGCTTTAATGGATATCGAACCGGCCGATAATCACATGCGCGCGAGACACACATCTCGATACATCGTCGCTTCGATCGCCGATGGATCATTTTCTTAGCGGTTTTAAAAAGGTCGGTTCCGGGAATTTTAGAAACTCAGTAATTATCGAGCGCGTCAGGAGATTTTATCGATCAGGAGATTTACTCGATACGCATATACTGCAGCGGCTGTCGACGGATAAAATATTGACGGTCAAATTTTAATCGAAGAGCGAGTCCTACAATCGTGTTTCGTCGCGCGTAATGATTTAATTATCGCACCTAATTATCAAATTGAAATTAAGATTTACATATCCACAAAGTTCTGTCACGTGTCGTACTACTCAGATATTTAGAGTGACAATAAGATTTATTTCTTTTTCTGTGAAAAACTTGGCGCATTTACGTCACAACGTCGACAAGGCTAATCGCCCAAATATACCTGTTTGCTCCTTGCCAATCGTCACGTGTGCTCCGAGATGAAACTCAACCATCCGATTTCGGCGTCGCCGCTCTTGGCACGGGTCTCGACCGTTCGATCAACTCACGCACTGTCATATCACTGTCGAATACAAAAATCAATCACGAATCTAATTGGCAAACCGGGAGGGTCATTCGCGAGAGCATGTCGCACCACGACGAGCCTCACTCACGATCGTTCCCTTGCGCCGATCCATCTCCCTCGGATGACCTTCGACGAAGGCTCCTCTCTTCCTTGCGTCCGCCGACCTTGGCCGCGGCGAGTCGATCCGGATGGCCGTCGACGTGAAACTGCCGGGGATGTTCCGCAGAAGAGGCCCGAGTTCCTCTAGCTAGTGAGTCGGCGCCTCCGCGCCGCGGAACGAACAGGAGGAGAGGGATGAAGATCGGCGGAGAGAGAAAGAAAGACAGAGAAAAAGAGGGAGAGAGAGAAAGGCGAGCGAGGCCTTCTCCCGGTGCGCTCTCGGCCGTCGCGAGCTACCGGCTAACTCTCTCGTTGAACGTCCGGAAATCTCGCACTAATGATATCGCGCTGATAAACTCGACTGGCACGCCCACGATATTGCACTTTTGCCGGATAAGACGCTTTCTTCCCTCGCCATTACGTCCGCTATTATCTAAAGAGGTGAGGCTTCACGGAGAAATTTTTGCCCGCCTGTTTTAAGGAGGTATCTGATTCATTTAGGTATCTTGATTCATTTCGGAGTAATTAAACTGAAATTAGTTAATAAGGATATAATAATACAGTTGTATCGGGAATGTATTTCCCTCTTCGTCCATCAGCATCTGTTTGCAATTTTTTTAATATTTCTAATATTGAAATTCTATTCTAATTGACCACACATTCTCCGTTTGCAAATTGTTATTTTATTTTGTCTTTATTTAGTTGCGTTCACAATATAAGACAGCATTTTAAATGCTCTTGTGCATATATTTCCTCTTTTTCATTCTAAGGCAAGTGATAAGAAAATTCTCAAATTAGCGATAAATTTTAAGATAAATAAGATAAAAAAATCTGTAAGATAAACCATAAAAAAAGGTCGGCAATTTATGTGTACAATGCGTACATATCGCGTGTACTTTGGTTGACCGATATCCGACTGGTTTCGCGAGACGGGTTAGGTCGCATGATGCCAAGAGGACCGGTAAGGTAAGGCAAACGGCGGGAGAGGGTTCCGTCCCGAGAGAGCGGAAGAGCGAGAGAGAAGGAGATTTGCAATCAAATCGATGAGCAGCCGGGTGGACCGTATGGCATCGTCTCGATCTTCTGATTACCGCCGGCATTGGAAGCCGGTGCGCGCTCGCCGCGGTTAACGTCGTAACCGGTAACGGTACCGCGCTTCGACGGTGCTCACCGGATGGCCGCACCAATGTGAGAGTACTGTTATTCCAACTATGCGGGCTCCCTGGCGTTCCCTCTCCGTCTATTCCACTTCCACGTCGAACGCTCTCGTGCCGCCGCCGTCTCCGTCTCGCTCCGTCTTACAATTCCGCGACAACACGTACGTCCGGCTGCGGTGTTACCGTTCACGTCTATTGAACCAGTTTCCTTCTTTTTCCACCGTTTCCGAGATTTGGAATTGCCGTCCCTTCGAGCGAACGACTGAAAAAAGTAACAACTGAAAAAAAATCATCAGATTCTTCCAACTAGCAAAATTTGTTGCATAAGCCACAATCTGATTTACACTGCTTTCCAAATTAGCTCAGCCGTGTTAACGTAACGGTATTAAGTGCCGAAATATAAATGCCGAAAGAAAACGGTAAGTTTGTAAGTTGGCAACAGCAAGTTTCCGTGGAGAAAAATAATTGACACAATCGCGAGCGAATCGGGTAAAGTGACCGTGCCGCGTAATTTCTGGTTACAATTTACTTTCATTTGCGTATTGTTAGACGCCGCAACGCCCGTGGAGCACATTGCTGACATTAACTTTTAACTAATGGCGAGAAAGTCGACCTTCAACGATATCATACATACATTTATTATATGCGCTTAAACCGTGCATTATCTTTGTTTTACGTGCATTTAGAAAATTGTAGGCTAAAGCACTCGCCCATCGATGATTGCGGCGCTCTTTAAATGCGAGGCGTATTTTTCTGTGTTAATCGTCGCAACAGAGAGATCTGTGCTTAGTGGGTTAATTGTATGAATATCATTAATAAAACATAGAAATAACTGTTAAGGCTGTTATATATATTTAACAATTGTATATGCCTAATTGTTTGCGCGTTAGTCTTAAAGAGGTCTTCTACTTGAAGGCCTTTTTTTTCGTCGTTTTTTAGGATTTTTTTTTAGGAATCATGAAAACATACTATATCGGGACTTTTATATCATATTTATTAACATTGGAAGTATGTTTGATAATTTTTTCAAAATAAAATATCGACAAGAATGCGTTGTACAGAGCGATAATGACATGTATCTAAAAAAAAAGTTGTCGGATGGCGCCCATGATTGCAGTTCACCAGTTAATCTGAAACAAAAAAACAAAATAGCATTTTAATCTATGAATGTGTGGCTATCTTCGGTACCAAAAACTAACGAAAATATACAATTTTCAATATTTTCGTTAGTTTTTGGTACCGAAGATAGCCACACATTCATAGATTAAAATGCTATTTTGTTTTTTTGTTTCAGATTAACTGGTGAACTGCAATCATGGGCGCCATCCGACAACTTTTTTTTTTAGATACATGCCATTATCGCTCTGTACAACGCATTCTTGTCGATATTTTATTTTGAAAAAATTATCAAACATACTTCCAATGTTAATAAATATGATATAAAAGTCCCGATATAGTATGTTTTCATGATTCCTAAAAAAAAATCCTAAAAAAACGACGAAAAAAAAGGCCTTTAAAGTAAAAGACCCCCTTAAGGAGAGGCTCGCGGCGCGAGCTGATTTAGAGAAAAAAACTCGCGGAGTAAACAGCGCGATGGATGTTTCCGTCCAGGATCGATGGAGAGACCCGTTATAGATAAAGTCAGCATAATAACCGCCGGTTTTATGTATTGCGCGATTACGGCCTACAGTCTCGTAGGTATCGCTCGGTCAACGGCAGGTGGCATGTGCCCCGTAGCCATAGAACGTTTTTGCCTTAGCGGGAGGCGCTATAGCGACTCTGCCAATTCTTCACGAAGGCAATCCCGCATCTGTTGTGTTCTCATCCTTTGAAAATCACGCGAATGCTGCACTTGAGCCGGATACCACCGATTAGGCGGCGTGCCACTGCAGTGCACCGTTGCACCGCTATTTTCGCGGGGTTCAGTTCATCAATCCAGTTGTTGATCCGTTCCATATCTGTCCGTCGAATGGGTCTTATTTCTCGTTACACATATGCATGAACATGCACGTCGCGAATCGATTAAATATTTAACAAGAAGCATTTGTTAAGAGAGTTTTGATTTCTGAATCGAGGAAGAAGATATTATCAATGTGCGGCCTGACTTTTTATCGAGTAAGTGTTGCTAACTAATAAATTGCGTTCGATCAGTCACGGTATTATAATGTCCTTTTATTTTTCATTTTAACACAAAATCGGCGGAAGTCTCCACGGTATGTGATTGCGTGCGTGAAAGGTTTTAAAATCACTTGGAAGGATTCGTCCCACAGGCGGAAGTATTGGCGACTATCGATTTGTCACGCAGACAGGCTTTGCAGCTGTCGCCTCGGATCTCCCGGACACCGAGTTCCGTGTTTAAATGCCGTTTCTCCATTAGCTAATTGCGGAACCTCCCATAATTCACAATTGCTCGTTACCGCATTATAATACATCGAAATTACATTTAAAAAACATTCGCAACCGGAAATGATTCTTTCCATCCGTTGTTGGAAAGCAGATGAAAGCATGCGCGTTTTGAAAGCGTTAAATTGGAAGCATTTTTTTATTAAAACAGCTGCGTGATTCTATATATACAAATTCTTTTATAAAAATTTCAAAGTATAAAAAATAAATATGAAAAATTGTGTTTATTTGAGAAATATTGTAAAAAATTTCGAATAAAATATTTTTATTATCCATTCCTCTAAAATTCGATAAAAAGAAATAATCGCGTCCAAGACGGTCGGCCGTGGATCGTGCTTGCGGTACCACTCATTAAAATCGCCAAATATACCATCTCTGAGCGGTGCAGCCGCCGACATCTATCGGCGAGCGTCACAAGATATTTCTTCTTCGTAGAAAGTAAATCAGGTCTCGGGCTATTCGAAACAGGATCATGAGACATTATTTCGGACGCAGCTGGTGTATTGATTCATTCGCCATGTCATCATCATGCGACCGCCTTAATGATCGACGGTACTTTTTTCTACCCGTTAACCCATACATTTTCGACTTCCCCTACTTTAGATCATTTTCCCCCTTATTTTCCTCGCCGATGCACCCCGACGCGCGACCCTCTACTGTCCGCGCGTTGCTCGTACTTTAGATTCGTGGCCACAGTCGCCGTAAAATGTGCGTGATGCAATTACACAGTCTGCTTCCTTCGAAAAGGAACGTTCTGATGGACCTATTGTCATCGGTCGAGACAAAGAGAAATGAAGAAGAGTGAGTCCACGAGGATAGCTAACGGACGCTTGAACAGCAAATGGACTTTGCACGAATCGTATAAAGTGAATGCAATAAAAAGATTATATATTATACCTCGCTAATGCTTTTTTTTAGAGACAGATCTTGCTGAGTTATCCGATTACTGCAGAAGATACATTGCTGCACGCGCGTTAACATCTCTCTCATGTCGTATATTAAAATAAAGAAAAAAAAAACGTACGTATAAGGAGTATATACGCAGCTCGGCAGGTGCAGGTATTAGAAATAGCAATCGGTTGTTGTAATTGACGTGCATATGCAAGTATTACGCCGACCGCTTTGCGCGGTAAACGATCCCGTCCGTTATATCGCCATCTGCACCGTTAGGAATTAATTTTGCACGAGATGTTAGAGTGCAATAATCCTTTCGGCGGGGGTGAATCGAAGCGCTCGACGCCGGCCTGAACGGGATTATTAAAAACTAATTTCGTCTCTGACCCGATTTTCTTCATGCCTGTACGCCCGTATACGAGCGTACGCGGCGTAACTGTAAATCGCGGAATCACCATCTAACTGTAATTCGAGCTTTTAGCTCGCGCGGCCTACGTTACGTTATCGCAGGAATTTGTGAATGTTAAGGTCGACTCCGCTAATCAACGATCTGTGAAGGCCATCGGGTGCAGCACCCTGCCCGATATTAAAATTCATAAGGAAATACCGAGTCGCGAAGTTCCTTGGTAGAGTGAAACGAGTTGCGTTCTCACGTTGCAGTCTCATCATCGTGCTTCTTTGATATTGCTTTTTCATTCAACTCGTATTACAAGTATCGTAATATTTATTTATTTTTACTAATTATTTATATCAAAATAAAAAGAGTAGCATATATGTATAGCGTAAGTATTTCCGGATTGTTAATTTTGTTAAATAATCTCGACGATCTTGTTCTTCGTTTTCAAAAGTATGCCCTGCACCGCAGACCGAGATGTAAGGATTTATAATTAAGGATATTTTATTGGTTTACGATGTTTCTTTTTTTTTTAGTTAATGATATTTATTTGTTGCGACAAGACGCGTGTACATTATATTCACATATTACTTCTCTATTTATGACATTAGCCTACGTGTGTACGTACACGCGGAAGTTTGATCGGCAACGCACTTTCGTCGTGAAGGAAAAGCGCGGCTTGCGCAACGTCGGGTATCTTCGCATTTTCTCTCCGCTGAGAGATAACTCCATCCTCATTCCTCGCCATTCGCCGCGTTCCGCGTGTGCGTACCGTATGTTATCTATATATCTATATATATATAATATATATATGCAGTTATAAACGTAATGAGTCTTCTTTCGCATTCTCGATGGCACATTCCTATCAGTGCTCGTCTCAGACGCGAGGGTTAATAATTAATGACAATGATTGCGTCTTACGTACGACGCAATCGCCTTTAAATAAACTATCGCGTCCAATCGCACATACGCACTCACACACACTCACACTCTCACATATACATATATAACACATACGCGCATGCACATACATTAATTTATGGTACTATTGATTGTCATACAATGAAGTGGCGACCTGTGCCTTACCGCACGAAGCAGCTATGCAGTTTCTCATTTCACTGCGTAGAGCTGCAAGGTCGTGGAGTAGTGCACCGGCATCCGGATGCCATTAGCGCATTCCTGCGTTTCGTCCCCTTCATCTTGCACCGCTCTTCCGGCGGTTGTTGTACTCGCGCACCGGCTACCAACATCGGCGGAAGGGCGGGTAAGAGGGAAGGAGAGGAGTTGAGGCACTATTCTCGGACACGCGCCTGTACCGCTATGCGTGTCCCCTTACGCGATCGACTGGTAACGTGGCTTCGTCACGCGCGTATTGTTTTAAAGCCTAGACACGACGAAGTCGTATATACATAGAATTGCGAACAACAATGCGAATGGACGGAAAATAACGAGTAGAAAATAACGCAGAGTAAGAAACAAAATCATTATTTACGGCCGGACCGTGGACAATGTTATCATTTCTTAATCTGTATCGTGACTTTCGTTGTGATTTCTAAGCCGGTCTTCGGTGTCGGCTGGTCATTTACCGCACGGTAAACACGGATAAGTTTTAATATATCGTTCGTTACGCGGTTAGTATAGTCGTTACATCGAGTTAATATATTTGGCATACTAACGTACGCAAAAAAAGAGGGAATCGAATGGAAGACGATAAATGATTGTCCGAACGTACAGAGCGATTAAATCGACAAGGAGATTTACAGTTACAATGTCGGTCTGCTGTAACTGTACCCCGCTCTCTCGTAGCATTTATACTAGATAGCGCCGTTTACATTCTATAATTATGCGTTATAATTGCAAATTGTAAATCGCTAGAGCCGCGTCTCACATGACATTGCATTATCCTACATATTCAAGTACAATGGCTGCGCATCCTAGCGAGAAAACGCTAGAAAAATAAGACGAGCGTGGAAGTACTCCAGCTCGGGAAAATGTTCGAAATTTCGAAACCAGACTTTCCTTCCTATTTGAAAAAGGAGAAAAAACACAAGATTCCTGTAGCACTTCCTTCTCTTTGAAAACTCCAATAATAATTACATTTTCTGTATAACATCGATGAAAGAGAAGAGAATCTGAAGAATCTTTTACTATCGCATTTTCTCCTTTTCACAAAATAAAACTTTTCCTCTCGTGCCGAACATCGCTTAACACTTTTCACCGACACCGCACATTTCCTTTCCATTTTTTTGGGGAAATTCGTTATGGTCTAATAATTTAGTAATTTTTCTCTCGTACATGTAAAGCATTCAGAGCGCAGACTTTCCTGGAGAATGTCTGAGATTTTATATCCAGCTTTCGCGACTCGCTTGGAAATAATAAACCCCGCCAAAAAGCTCTTTTATTAACCGGAGAAGAGAGAAAGAACGCGCTCCACTTGAGCTACCAATCAAGGTAATTTGCATTCCACCGGTTGTTTGTTGCAATCCTGAAACTAGAGTATCGCGTACGACGGTTGGCGGTTAACCCTGAAAATTACACGGGAGAACGGAATGTGGCCGGCGACGGAAAGGTTCGCGTGCATAGTGCATATAATGCACCGTAAGTGAAATAACGCATCTCGTGTCCGAACAACCGTGATGCCCCGGCATTCGAAATTCGAAGTCTTCGTTGTTTAAAAGATTTCGATAAAAGTCTGAATTTTCTATCAGCCAAGACCGTTTTGCTGAAATACATAACGTTTCGATATGAATGAATTTCGTGCCACGCAAAAACCTTTTCCAATTGCAGACACAAATAATCCTCGTCGTGTCTCTGTTGCGCGCGCGTCAGAATCAGAATCAAAGACACTCCCCGACGTTTCTGCGCGACTTAATGGCATACTCGCTTAATTAGCTTTGACTGGCTTATTTGGTAAATACATACGTATGTAGATATACCTGTGTACGTACACACCTGCACACTTTCGTGGTGCGGTTCGCTCTCATAAATATTTTACACTCACTTTCTACTTCAGCAACATACTACAGTAGCTGCAGCAATATATAACTAATCAATGTACATTTTTACTTTATCAGACGTCGCGAAGTTTCGATCGAATGTCTGGAAAGAGCACGGTAAAAAAAAGATAAAAAAAGGGGAAATTATACGACCGCGTTGCAGCCTTGGCGTGAAAATAACGTGATAACGATAGTCAGTGACTAATAAAGTGTGCATCCATGCATGCATAACGGTGAGCGATAATAATCAATGGCGTGGAATTCGTTTTTTTTTGTACATATGTTGCGTTTGCACCTAAATGTTTTTTCTTTTTTCTTTTTTTATAATCAGATAATTGATCGACTGGAGAGAGAATTTAATCCGGCGGAATTTAATCTCTAAATATGCATATTGGCGATATGATTTGCGGCTCTCTTTCATCGGCGAGGGAAGGATCGTTTCGGAGAAAAAGACACTACCTGTCGTTTCCTGATTTGCATAATACTTCCGCCGTGAACAAGTCACGCGGTGACGCATTAACAACGATGCCTACGTGTCGCCGCAACTTTCTGCTCGAAGTCACGCGTCGATTAAGCAGAGATGTCAGCTTCTATAAACACTATGTATGTATAATATGTATATATAAAAACTTTGCTGCTTATAATTCCGAATCTACACATCGAATCGCTTTGCATATTATTTTCCAATTTGATCCCATTCGAATATTAATTTGAATACGATCGAAAAACATGGCAATTATGTAAGACTCGTGTTGAGAGTGCAAAATTGATATACATAAGATTACGTTTGTCATTCCACGCACGTTAAATAAATTTTCATAAATATTATTGAAATTTCCATATTATGTAATATTTTAAATAAAATTTTTTATCCACATTTTTGATATCCACGTAAATGAAGTTACAAATGTCGAATTATTTTTTCCTCATTCGTATTTCCTTCGTCGACATTTTTCTGCGTAACACCCATCATTATACCGCACGGAGAAATTTGTGGCGAAAGGCGAACCATTTTTTTTTATCGCTCGTAATCGTCGCGCTCGATGACGTGCCGATCGAAAGAGAAACGCACGTCTCCGCGGCATTTGAATGCTACGTCCCAGTTGCGTAATGACGGATAATTGTTCTTACAACAGTTCCCGATCACTAATCACTGAATATTAATACGTACATGAATCATTCAGGATCTTTGTCGTATATTTTTATTTACCTCGAGCGACATTTAAAACTGGCAGAATTGAAATTTACAAAATTTAGGCGAGTTTCGCGAATTCGCAGGCGACACATCGAGATTCGTTTACGTAACTGCATCACAATGAAGTAAAGCGAAAGTGTTAATTATAGTGACTGCGTGATCAAGATCTCCGCCATGATCATCACCAGCACTGACGTCTACGCAAAAGCATCTTGATGCGTTAAGTATTTTTAATCGGACATTTGCACATATCATCTATGGAAATTAACATCTTTTATAATGTGCGGTGTGTGTGTCATTCTCTTGTGTCCTTAAAAATACATTCTCGCAAAATGATTTCTTTCAACTATGAAAATATCGCGAATAATCTTTTCCTCGGCAATAATAAAATAACTTTTTTTTCAATAATGCGATAATCGTATGGTATGTATATTTATGCGTGACTTTTGAAGACCTTTCGGGTACAGAAAAACATACGTTCCAACATCGAACGAGACCGCAATTCCTTTTGCGCTTAAGCTTTTGCTTACGACATCAGTGCTAAATGTGCTATGATAAAACTTCAACAAGCGCGCAAAATGTCATAAGCAAGGACACTTTTCTCGGTCAACATAATATACGTGACTCGCGTATTTTTCTCGGGAATACAAATATTGAGATTTCCGACCAGACTTTTTTTTTACCTGTTATTTATGTAACACACCATCTTGCTTTTTAATCCACGAGTTACATAAATCGCACACAGATGTTATGCGTGCAGTCAATTAATTTATATCTCGTTAAAGTACTATAAGAATTTTTTTTTCAAATAAGATACTTTATTTAATTATATGAAAAGAAGATATTAAGAACCCATTGAGATTCTGATATTTAAAGTACGTGTTCAAGTATCCGAAGAAATAATCTTTAATGCCGGCGACATTGAAATATCTTTGCTAATCTATTCATAAATCTTTCAACTTATTTTCACAGAGAAAATACATATAGCAGTCTCTTTTTCCTCCATGCCTTGCGCATTCATCTAATGAGCTTAGACAGTAGAACTGTCTCCTTCCCTAGGCCGACAATAATTACTGTCTAATTAGTTTGTTCTGCAACAGAAAGGTCGTTGCGTTTCTCGAGACGTTATGTCATCATTGTAATCTATAATGTTTCGCTGATTTTCCATTTTCACACATATGGAATGCGTTTAATCTGATTCAATAAAATGCTTTTATACAGGAATTTTGATAGATAATCGTATTCATGATTATCATCATGAAAATATACTTTTGTCATAAAAATATGAATATGAATTATATTTTGTCACCGAAGTAATTAAGAAAAGGTAATTTAAAATACACCTGCTGCTGTATAATACCGTTATGGCAAAACTTGCGGAGAGTCGGAATTGCAACGTTTTGCAATGCCAATCTTTTTCCACGTGACATGACGACGGAACGTGAAATCGCTCGTAACTGTAGCGCCGATGTCACGCTTGGTGAAGCAAGCTGCAAAAAGATGTTTGTTAACCCAGACAAAAGTCGCTATTGCATCAACGCGATCGACCGGAAAAAGTAAGATTCATTTCGAACAATTGTCTAGCAGTAACATCACTGCTAAAAGAATAGAGGATTGCACCGAAGAATTTCTATCGGTCGAACAATAGTTATTAATTATTCATTATAACTTTATCGTTGGCAGCCGGATTGACATTCGAACACGCGATATCTGTTAGCATTCTAATCTAGTGAGGGACATTAGTATTTGAATTTATGACCAAGATATCTGATAAAGAAAGTGAATACGTCTATTTAACTAAAAATGCTTCGCTCCCTTTAAAGTATTTTCTTCTATGAAAAGAATATCCAGAAATCGCTCTGGATCACCTAAAAAGCTTCAGACAGCATGACACTGCAAGTGACCAGCTTCTCAAGAAGCGATTTTAACGGGGTCTCGGCCTGGGCAACGGTTGAATCTGCTGCTGTTGATGATGATGATATCCACCTCTCGAATTCGGAGCCTGCATCCGTTCTGGTCCGTCGTTGAGATTCAATCCGGCAACCAGCTGGGCGATCTCGCGATCCTTTTTCTCCTCCTTCGGCAACGCGTTGCCGTTTTGCGCGCTGAAGCCTAAGGAGGCCAGACTGCCGTGACTCCTGCTACGATGTTCCGCCCGAATGCTGTAAGAAAAGGCTCTCTCGTTCAGATGACCCTTCCGTCGGTATATGCCGGTACCGAAGCGGGACTCGTTTTCCGGACTATCCGCCTGTCGAGCGACTTCCGGCGCGGTGAGGTCCGCATGAGAGGCGGCTAATCTCCTGGATGTGCTCAAGGTGGAGTTATCCGCCTCTATGTGTCTTCTGCCTCTGTTTCCGGCGGTACCGTATGTGGCTGGATAAATGGCCGCCGCCGGTGCCGCGGTCGGCGGTACCACTGGTAAGGGAGCGTAGACTGGGACTATTGGTGTCGCCGCCGGGATGGGCCTTAAACGCGGATGATGGTGACTCTTTCGCGGTAGGGTGGCTGCTGGTACCAAAAGCACCGGCGCCGGTCTAGCCAAAGTGCCAGCGACGGATCGGCTGCTGGGTGGTAGCGGATGATGATGATAGTGTTGCTGCCTGATAGGATGACCCAGAGTGTGGTGTCCGTGGCCATTGGCGTATACGCCTTGATGCAATTGATGATGAAGGAGCTGTTGTTGCTGTTGTTGTTGCAACGCGTCCTCATGCAACGAACGAGTCTTCATCTTCTTGAGTTTCTTATTGGCTTTCCGTCGTGCGGAAGAGGATTCCTCCAGCAACAACGGTTGGGCGGGAGGGGGTGGCGGTGGTGGTGGCGGCGGTGGGGCGATCAACTGGCGCGGTCTAGATCCCTTCGTGCTTCGCAGGGTGCCCTGTTCTTGGTAAAGACCGTCGACTTCGTCGCGACCCCTGGCCCAAACCTTATGATTTTCATCGCCGTTGTACAAACTGACGTCGTCGGTCGATGCTGTGTCCAAACGGGTCGGTTGAGGACTGTCCAGAGTGGTGCTCGAGCCGCCCAGAGTGTGGTAGAGACTGTTGTTCGACTGATGACTCGTCGCGACTCCGTTCGTCGTCGCCGACGATGGCTCCAGGCCTTTCGCGTAGCTGCTGTCGGCATAAGCGTGAAAGCAACACCTTACCAGGGCGTTGGCCGCCATGTCCCGTTTGCAGATGAACGCGTGACACTCGAGAACTTTAATGCCGGTTGTTCTTCGCAGCACCGCGGCGAACAGGGGTGGATGATTCGCGCTGGGCGTCCGCGCGAACGGTGAGTCCAGTGGCAGGAAACGCGTATTGGACGTATCGCCGTTTCCACCTTTGACGTGTCTAACCGCGGCGCAATAATGAAGCGCCTCGATAGGGAAGAACCGTGTGATCTTTTTGCGATGTTCGTCAACATTCTCCAAAAGTAAACCGTTGCTCCAAACGCTTAGCCAAGAGTCGATTCCGCGCGCACCCAACGCACCCTGCTCGGGATAGAGTTCTCTCAAAGGCTCCTGAACGCCCAGGAGTCCCTCCTTGCTCGCATGAGGTACTGAGCTACCCAAATAGAGTACTCTGCAGCGACAATACGGTGTCGCCGTATCTTGATTAGCTCCCCTCATTTTTTTTGATTTGGCTCAATTAACTTATCAATCAGACAGATTTAATCGACTTCGATCTCGACACAATTTGAAAATTACGCGAATGCGATTGATAATGAGAAAATTATCTTTGATAATCCAGTTGCTAGTTGTAGAACGTAAAGAGACATTCGTTTAATTCGGTTACAAATAATTTTATTAAATAATTACTTTCAATAAAAAAAAAATTGTACGCGGCGTCTTAGTCGCGTATTGTCATGTAGGAACAACACTCAAAAGTGGTTCAGAATTGTTCTAAACGGAGAAACTGTTCGGAGATTTCGATGCGTGGTACGTAAGTCCCACGCATCGATCTTGAAGCGTCGATCTTCCCGATCGGCGACAGCGATACTCAGCGATACGATTCTTGGGAACCTTAATTATTAGCCGGCGAATTGTTTCCCACGCGCAACATAGAGCTGCGGATGTGACTCAGGAGCTCATTGAGCGATTACGCTACAACGAGACTCCGCCCGGTAGCACTCGCAGTCGATTACGCAGTCGCTGCTTTCCAAAGACAGGCGGACAAGCGGGCGCGTACACGTCGTCGCAGCGCGGCGTTGCAAAATACGTGCGCGCAGCAACGGCGAGAGGAACTCGGCGGCGCGGATATTTCGCAGCAGCTGTAGCCGCTCGCTCGAGATCGCGTCAGGCCATTATGGCCGCCTTCTTGTAAATCCCCCTCCGACAGTATCGGGTCCCGCTTTGCCCTCTGTGTCTCTCTCTCTCTCTTTCTCTTTTTTCCTTCGCTGTCTCCGTCTCTTCCCCGTCGCTTTCTTTCCCTTCGTGCCTCTTCCCTCTATCGCGGCCCCTTCCCGTGCTCCGTCTCTGTCGCTTCCTTTCAGTTCTCTCTAGGCTTCTCTAAACCCCCTTCTCTGGTACCCAGACCTGAGGCCCTCGCTGGTATGCGGCGCAGTGGCGTAGCCGTCGTCGTCGTTGTCCCTCACTGACGCACCTCCACGTGTAGCCGCTGTCACATGTATATACGCACACTCAGCACATAGTACACTCGCGGCCTAGGGGCTGTCGTGGACACCCTTTGGAGAACCGTGGAGAACGACGAGCGAAAAAAAACGGCCCGGCGATACCCGGTGGTGAAAATTTAACGACTATTCCTGCAAGCCGTGTGCTGATGTCTGTGCAGGAATCCAGAGGCGCGGCCGCAGGCGTCGGCCGCGCGAATCACTGTACCAGCACCGGTGGGCCTCATTGGGCCCCTCACGCACGGAGATGGCGAAAATGGCGGATGCTGCTCTTGTTCGATCACCGACTCGATGCTACCCGGAGCGATCGACGACCTTTCGCGAGCGAAGACGGCCGATGGCTCGAAAAAGAACGGCGAAGCTGGTACGAGCCTCAAGATCGACACTGACACATCGACGTTGCGGAGGAGCCGCTCTTGGTGCCGTTCTACGCTCGCGCACACACACCAACCACGCCACACGCACACACGCGCACGGATGGTCTCGGAGCGGAGCGGCGAACCACTAGCTACCAGTACGTTCGTCTTCGGACTGAGAACTGGTGGAAGGCGTGAGACTTCGTGACTGGGTCCCACTCCGCTTCACTACCAGACACTCTCCCACTCTCCTCCTTTGCGCTTTTCATCGTCGGGTCACTCCCTGGACTCCGATCCTGTCGCCGTACCCTACCTCCTTGGTGGCGAACGCGCCGCCGTTCATAGGACGGGAATTATGCCGAGGAAAATGGACATTCCACGGTTCGATTTTATGTGAAAACGTTAATGGCGCTTCCTCTTTTCTGCACATGATGCAACGCGCTGTTTTGCTATTAATACTAGTTAGTACCTTGACTCGAGAGATGTGACATTTTAGCACGCAGGAATCCCGTACCGCGCCAGGATGTCGCGAGAGAGTTGACTCTTCAACGCCGTCAATTTTAAATGTCAGACGACGTAAATTTACAGTTACGGATGCAGATGCGGAAATTAGATTGTAATATAAATTTTAATCAAATAGTTATAGCAAATAGAAAGGGTTGAAAGGAGTCAGCGCGATAAATGATGCGCAAATTGTAATGATAATTCAGATGTAGAATCACATCATAAATTATAATCTTTAAAATAATACATAAGCTGTAGAGACGTTTCGGCCTCATTTTCAGCCATCATTAATATTAAAACATTGTCAATGATCACAATTGTACAATTCCGTGTGAAAAAAACAGTCTATATGATCCTGAATCAAGCTGCGAATTGCCTATCAACCGGTTCCACTGTTGGATAAAAAGGCTCGGAATCATTTTAAATTTCCATCAATACTTATAAAAAAAAGATATTAAATAAGACGTCATAAAATAAAATTATTAAAAACTATAAGTTCTTGAATCATCAAAAGAGATCTAGCGTTACAAATTAAAATTAAACTAGTCAATACGGAGTATTGACCTAAAAAAATTTTAATCGAGTTTGTATCTCAAATATTGTATTTTTAATTGAAAACGAGCAATATACTTTCATAGCATGCATATCTTCATATTTGTTATTTATTATAGAAATCCGTGGAATCGTACACCTGGCGGCGTGCGGTGTGCACGTTGCCCTTTATAGGTCAAAGATTGCGTAGGTACCGCGAAGGAAAGACCCTGGAGTGCACGTTTTTCACATACAAACTGCCGGAGCATGGGAAGTGAACGATTATCTTTTGACAAGAGGTAAGAATCGTGGTCTCTAGGTCGCTCTTCATGTCGTCGAAGCAGAACATGACCACGAAGGTGAAATCATAAATTCGTTGCATAACTGAGACATCTCTAAAACGATCGGGTTAGACGAGCAACAAGTGTAAAGGTCTTCTAAACTGGCTTTGTTTTGCCGCCTGCGTCTATGCATTCAGTGTTTCTAATCTACTTAGATCTCTTTCTAATCATGAAACGTGTAATTATCTACCCCTGTATGTGTATGTTTTGTTCTATCTACATAATATTTTTATAATTACAGAGAGATTAAAGTAATTTTCGCGCAAAATAATTAAAATGAATTTTCACAATTAATTATTACGTAACGGTATAAATCTTCCGTTACGGAAGAATAAGATATCTCTTCGACACATGTCATTTTTCTCTCATCGCGCTTTTGTATTAGCATAAGCATTTTATTTCCATGCGAACGACACATTTTCCGCATATTTCATTCGGTTTCGCCGCACAGAAATGAAACGTTGTCAATGCATTTTCCACGCAATTAACCGTGTGCAGTATGCGACAGGAAGACGAGAAAATCCGGTAGTGGGTTCGTGTCGCGAGCGTGAAATCGCGGCGACGCGGAATCAGGGTCGCGTGACCGGGACCCTGACCGTGGCCCAATGTCGACATTTTTCAGTGGGAATTCTCCTCGAATCCTTTCGCACAGCTGACACATTTAGAAGCAAGACGAATACGGCGGAGTCATTTCCGTTCGACATGAAACGTACAAATTAACTTGAGTACTGTTGCGTGTAACTGTATCACAATTTTATAACGATAAGGATGCAAACTTGAGATCCAATTAAGATTTCCTGCTTTGCGCTTCTTAAGATTTTCTTAGAGGTCAGAAGATGTCGTCTCTCGAAAATTGAAATTCTTAATTTAGGACTTTATGTTGTATCTTATAATAATGTACGGCATATTAAGTATGTTAAAGATTATTTCTTTATTCTCTCGAGAAATTTCGAGAATGCAAATATATGTTTAATAATCAATTTAAAAGCCTATTCACTTTTTATTTTAATCACAATTTTCTTCGATGTGGATATGCATATTTTTCACATTGTTATATCTCAGATGAAGATGCGGTTTATGAAGGCCGGAGACGAAGGTCGCCAGATATCTGTCAAGTTTCTTGGAAAAAAGATAGGTATTCGAGATGAGGTTCGAATATGCAAATAGTTGTTTCTTTACTGTAGAATCTCCCAAATATTTATTTCGGGACTTGGAAATGTCGACTCCCCTTCGATTTGCCTGGCTTGTGTCTCGAAGGACGACTGGTGCATAATTCAGATTCCGCGATCCGTGAGTCGCAGAAATTACGACGTTTCCCTTTTACAATTATAATAAAAACTATTATTAGCAAGCCCAAAAACTTTCCAATCCCGTAAACGCTCAAGTCTCATGAGGTCCAGATGCATTAAAAAAACGTTTGTCTCAAACTGTTGAACGAAAAAATCGATCGTCCAGTGGGTTAGTGGGTCGTCGTCACGTTAATTACAAAGACTCCAAAAGCCGTGTGTACAGTGCAATCACCTCTTGTCCAAGAATCCTCTCCAATCCCCTCTTCGATGACGTTTCCTCGTGACTGGTTCACTTATCGATGACGCTATCCTTTTTTTGCAATTATATATTACTATCTAGTACAGCATAATACAAATAAATTGTTTAATATTAAAACACAATAAATTCTTAAGATCTATTATCTTCTGTTATTACAAATTTTATGTTGTACTAAAAACCTCTAAATAAAACTTAATAAAATTTTAAAAAAACATCCAATAGCATTATTACAAAAATGAACGTACTATGATAAGAAGACATTTTTTAATTTCTAAACAATGTTTTTGTTTTGATTTTTGAAAAATTAATTTTACTGATTGTATATAATTGTTTTTAATAATTATACAAACCAGAATAATTACATAATTTAAATAGAGTAACGAATATATTATATTCTTTGTTATATACATTTTTACATTAATATTTATAAAGATTTTTTATGTTTTAAAACGTAATTTGTAGTTTACGGTATTTACAAAGACTTCTAAAAGTTTTCTAGGAAACATTGGTTCGATAATCTAACTTTCAATTAGACGACTCGTTAAGACGGGTAGCTCTCAGGTAACAGATACATCCTAAAAGCTTTAAAAATTACGATAACTCGATGTGGTCCGTCTAGCGAGAAAGCATACCTCTGTATCGTGTAATTGTAATCATGTAATGGCTTTCTAACAGACGACCAAACGGACAATTCGAAAGTTCTATGCAAATAGAGGCGATGTGGTCGATGTCTTGTCGTACTTGTAAAAAATCCATGAAACGCGCAAGTTTGTCGACCCGGCACGAATATCCGCGCGCCGCCGCGGCCGTCGTCGTCGTTGCCATTTTTGTCGAGGCGCGGTACTTTCTTTCACATGCGACGGGTAATTGTTTTCCGCGTGCCTGAAACTTCCACGATGCGTAAATGACGGCGTCGGCGCTCGATTAGACCACGAGAAAGTTTGGTGAAACGTTAAGAAAAAGACGATTGAGCCTTGTGAACTGCGCTTCGTTTCAAAGACAGTAATTAGCAAGCACATTGTTACAGAAACCGTCTTTATTTTATAAAAATTTGTAATTATTTGTACATACATACATACATATATACATACATACATATATATATATATATATATATATAATTTATACATAATATATATTTATTATATTAGTTAATATAATATATATTAATAATATATGTGCTTATATTTATAATTTTTATAACATTTACTTTTATATAAACATATATTATTTATATATAATATATTAAATATATATGTATAATAAATAATAAATAGACAAGTAAATATAAATTTTTCGGAAAATTAAAAAATTTCTATAATATTTTATAATTATTTAAACCGATTTGCAATTTACAACGCTTACAATCGTCTTTTCCTTGGAAAATAGATACATAATTATATAATGCATATATAAATGCAATTGTCAAGTTATCGAGAGCTAGACCGCAATGTCTTTCATAGAAGATTAGTTACAAATTGCGAGGAACGTCATGATAATAGACTGCGATTCGTTCTTTCTCTTTCACAAACGGTTGTGTTTTAAGTATTCTTATGTCTATCAATCTCTCTTGCGCTCTATTGCGTTCGTGCTGTCCACTTGGCGATAGCGTGACCGGGCATCGAAGTCGCCGGGTTGAGTAGGATAACGGGAGACATAAACGCCGGAGATACTCACCGCTCTCGAGCGTCGCTGCCATAATCATGACAGTTCACTTTTACTGATTAAAGTGGCAATTGAATCAAACGTTGCAAATATTCCATGTCATAAATGACAATTTGAATTTATTTAAATTTTAGAAGGTGGCAGTAGCTGTAATATATCAGTAATCAATTCTTATAAATTCTTCAATATAAATTTCTGTAGAATTACTATTACTTTTTATTATAGTATGTTGTTATAAGATTTTTTGAAGACATTTTAGATTTTATTAGACAGTATTTAATTGATTTAATAATCAAAATTAATTAGAAAAATAGTATTAAAAAATTCAATAATATTCCAATCAATAGTGTATAACTTAATCAAATACAGCTGCAAGTGTTACGACACCCAAACACACATATACATATGGCGGATGTATAGCCACGCAGGAAAAGTTTAAAAAATTCCTTCGCGTATACACATCGGAAACAACGGCACTTCCGACATGTAGCATTTGCTTTTCCGTCACGTACTCGTCTTTAGATAGACACGAGGCCATCACGAGGCTCACATCAATTTATCGTTGATGATGAAGTCGCGAAGGCTAAATTGTTTTACGTGTAGCAAGCACATATTCAAAGTTATTATTATGTAATTATTATTTAGAAAATTTTATTTATTAGATTTACGTTCAGAAAATCCTCTCCAAATAGCTTTCGAAGAAAACAAATTTTTAATTAAAGTAATTGACATTTATATTATTAAAAACATTGATGATATTTAAGTTGCGTATACAATTAAAAATTTTAAAGCATTTTTTTTAACTCCCTCTTTCTCTCTCTCCTGCTATGTGAATAAGACAAGATCGTGATATACAGGTTCAGAGCGCACAATATAGCGTCTGGCATTTAACCAGGAACTATCGCGTGCGCGCGCGAGTATGAAAGCCCTGGGGCCCGTGAGACCCCTATAACAGGTCACTGCCATCGAGAGAAGCGAGCAGGTTCGAGGCGTTGAATCCCTTTACAGAAGAAGGGGAGCCTGTTTATCCGTGCTGCATTTCACACGCGTATACTGACACGCACCAGGCGAATTGTACATTTGCGAATCGAATATCTCGCGGAGAACACCGGCAGCTCTCGTCGCGGTAAAAATCATCGTTCGGAAAAGGTACAGGACAAATAATCAATTTGCATGCGTGTACGTCTCGTTCCGCGGGTTCAAGGCCTGGCGGGAGATTGTTTCTCGTTTCTTGTATTTGAAAAAAAATGCGAAAACCGGCATGCGGCACCGCGCCTCTGAGAATTTAAACGTGGAAAGCGCGATAACGCAACGGTAATCGAATTTCTGAATTACATTAGGCGGCGTGCGAATTACACTACAAGAGAACGACACGCTCGGGTACCGTTCTTAATAACGGTCACCCGGTATAACGCTCTGGCCGAGGATGGAGCAATGTTCCGCGCGATTACGGGTCTCATCAGCGGGAAAAAGACAGAGACAGCGACAATTCCACGCGTCTCTTGTAATCTCGGCTTTACCTTTGCGAAATTATAGCCCAGGGTTCAGAGATTATGGTTTACGAAACATCTCTCGCAGGAGTCGGATTTTCTTTGCGGAGCGGAATCTCGCGCGTTTTCTAGTACGCAGATTGAACAATAACAAATGAAAGGGGGTTGCAAGTGAAAACGAGTGATATGAATAAATCGCGAATATTGAAATATGCTCGATGTTGTAATGTTTCGAGCGCGAAAAGACTTTCTCGAAATTATAATACACTTAGGCGCTCGTTGTACTTTCCTCCGTAAACCGCGATATGTATCAATTTCTGTGAACGAAACCGTTTCGTATTGCGTTTAAGCAATTTCTCCTCTTAATGCGAAAGTTCATACGCGGGTATCTCTAGCTGCTACTTTGCTGTTTGCACTATTTATATGTGATATGCACATATTGTGCATATCGCGCTACATATCGGAGAGAAAAATATTATTCATTTGCCAATAAAGGAAACTTTCTCTTCGTTACTTGCAAAAAAATTCCGAAAATATTAAAACGATAAAATATCAATACAATGTGTGCAGTCCTTGTTTGCTTCGCAACCGCGAAATTACTTTACTCTGATTTAAAATAATTAAGTTTCAACGAGCGAAACATTGGTTACTTTTTATCACGATAAATTTTCGGCATCTTCACGATAAATGTTAAGGTTGAAAACATCCGAATTATTTTATTTAGAAAGCTAATTAACTGATTTAATTTTAATACTCTTATAGTTTAACTTCAACTTTCAATTTTGTTTGAATGATGGCAATACATCCTAACGACTAATTTATAAAAAAAAAAAACATTTCTTGGACTAATGACTAAAAATTAATTTTAATATTTGGATAAAATCCCTCTTGATAAAAAAACTGCCATCTAAAATTTGCTGTAATAAGTATTAAATTTTTATTATATCGACTGCGAGCGACATTGACAAAAAACGAGATATATCGTACATTAACAATTATGAGGTTTTGTAATTTTTACTGAGGTAAGTTTAGTCGAAACGTTTAGTCAATTTGAAATATACTGTTGAATATTTAGCATTAATATCTAGCTTGGCTCATTGTCTTTCATTTTATGTATAATTTTAATATATATATATAATTTATTGCTGAACCTGTATTAATATTTTTCTTAATGTTTAACTGTTTGGAATGATTGGAACTTTGCAAATTTCTAAGCTATAAAATTTTGACGCACAGATATGCGTCTTTATCGCTTTAAACATTACTGTAAATGTGGAACGCCTGATGCATTCGGAGCGTATGGTTCGATGAAATGTAACACAGCCCGGAGGCAACGTCTTCCTGGAAATCGGAGAGATCATTGCTTGCGCCATGCTTGTGTCCGATTTTCACCTCTACATCTCGTACACATGTAAGTGCCGACAGAGGATACTCCGAATTTCATTTTATTACAACTGAATGTCTCCCTTACATAACCGCCGATGTTACTACGAGGATATGATCGTGCGGAATAAATTTAACGAAGATTTATGGTGTGTTATACACACGCTATCTTCTAGAATTCCCACCATGCAACAAGAAATTCGAGATAAGATGTATTATCTTAACTTGGGATAGAAACTTACCGTATTATATAATACATTTAACGAGAGAAATATTCAATTTTTTTTAATACATAAGGTGAAATATATCTATTTGTGTAATTTTTATAATTTTTAATGTACATCTTATTTAATAAGGAGATATCAATATTCTTACCGCAAAGACATTGATTTATTGGCAACTTTCTATTAATGAAGAAGAGAAATTTTTATGTAATAACCAGTTTTTGATAAATACAAAAAATTTCGCACATTTCAATTATATGAATAAAATTGTGTAACAATATATTCCAAAATGTAAATATATCTTCTGCATAAATATGTATAAATAAATTGATTTTTATGAAATTTATGTAAAACCGATTTTCAATCATGCTCGACGTTCGGTAACTTTGGTAGATCGAAGGAAGAAATAAATAATACGAGAAATTGTTGTTACAATTATTATTGGTACTGTTATTATCCGTATTATTGTGTTGTTACTATTTATTATTATATTGTTAGTGTGGCATCTGACGCATAACAATATGGTACGTACACGGGATCGTGTTAGAATTCGTTCGTTTAACTAGAACGATTCTGTCAACGAAATCCTGCGTCCGTACTCGATAACAACGATACGCAAAAAAAAAAAAAATCAATGGAATTGGATTCATCGAAAGTGTAATACATATACAAGCTTCTTTTACTCTCGTTACATACATATACAATCTCGGTTCGGCATTGACTGTTCAGTGGCACGATACGTGAGCAAATCGTCAAAGTCACAGTCCGCAGTTCATTTTAAAACGTAATCTAAATTATTGTATTACTTTATGTATAATAATTATTGTAAATATTGTATAAACAATTTATTTTGTAAATTACATTACACTAAATAATCCATTATACAATTTAGTATTATATAATTTAAGCGACCGATAGTAAGGAACGATATTAGTGTTAATTCGAAAACTGTTTCCTGCTAGCATCCCAGAGTCGAGAAATAAAAACATCCATATCGCAGTCCTCGAGCTCCTTTGTCCTTCCTCATTTTTTTTTATTGTAGAGACGGGACAAAGGCCATTAGCCATGAACACACTGAACGGTCAAGGCGCAGTGCATGAATAATAACGATAGCGCGATATGTCGGTTAATTCATTAAATAATTCACCAATTAAAAACGGGCTAGCGCATCAGTAGGGATGAAGCGCAGCCAGGCCCAATCTCGGCGGCTCGGCGTAGCTGTGACGGTATCTACCGGATGTCGGGATCATCTCCAACGGTGGTCTGGCACTTTCGCGATCGAGTCCAGGATATCTCTCGTGCTCCGACAGTTCCTGATAGTTCGCGCTCCTCGTCCGCAACTTGTCGCGCAATTCCCGCGAGTGCTGCACACGGTCTCGAAATTCTCGAATCTGTTCAATGAAAAGAAGACAAACACCGTCACAATTTTAAACCTAATTTGATCGTGCTTACATTAGACTCAGTGCTAAATGCAATATTAAATCGCGACGACTCTTACATCTCTCTGATCTACGAGATTCCTCTGATCTCTGAAATCTCTGCCGACCGACGGATTCTCGTAGAAGCTCCTTGGCCGCGGTCTCGAAATTTCTGGCTCAGGTGGACGCTCGACCGCATAATGATGAGTCCTGGGTCTAGGTCTTGTAAGACCCTTGTAAGACACAACATTTTCGCGATCAAGCATGTCCGGCTGACTTCGTCTGATTGCGTGCTCGTGCGAAGACACGGAGTTCAGACTCGCCGGATATTGGCGGCTGGATCGATCCTCCAGTGAGTGAATCTGTCTAGCCGATTGGACTCTGCCAAATAACAAATTCTTATAATTTAACCAGTTGATAACAAATAATATTTTAAAAAATCAATACAAAAAATTCGAACGATTTAAAAGATTCTGACTCTACGATACGATTATACCTTTATTAAATATACATACATTTATTAAAGTCGAGAGCTATTCCGGAAATTTGTTTTCTTTTTACAAAATAATTCAAGAGGGATTTTCTATAAAAAATTTAAGAATGTGGACATGCAGGATACTAACGCTAACTGCAATTTCCGAAGACATCGAGATCTGTACTCTCATAAATCTCTCTCTTGCGAGAACGCGTTTGGAGAAAATGTTTGATGCTTGAAACCCGTTCGAGCATGGAAAGCTGGATAGAACCGTATATGTGCAAAACGAAAAGCACGAGCGATGCGTCGCGTTTAGATCTCCGGACTGATACTCTCGACGACGATATTGCATTCCGACTTTTACTCGCGACTGAATCGCGCGTTTCGCAAACTATAGAATATTCATTCGTATTATGTATCGTACAATCATAGAATAGATTTCTTTCCGAGTAGAAACTTTCCTGATTTTTATTTCGTTTTAAAAACCTAATTATTTATTTTATTTTTATAGGGACATCATTTTTTAAGCACACCTGTGTACAGGATGATGCTCGATGTCTCTCAGCCTGGGGAGAACAGGCCTGGCGATGGCCTCCCTCTCCATCGCCCTGAACATTTCCTTGGCATCTTGGAACCTCTCTCTGGGACTGGTCACCTCGCCGGGGTTGACCCGAGGCTGATATTGAGGACTCGGCGATCGCTGTCTAAATTCCGCCGCTCGTCGATTCCTGTTGCAGCTCGGCGAAACTCCCCTGTTTACTTGATTGGGTAGCCTTTCCGGGCTTCGCGGCAGCCGCGGCAATGTTAGACTTGCAGCTGTCTCCACTTCTGGATCATCTCGATAATCGTTATCCTCGTTTGGCACGCCCCAATCGTCATCTACAAACAATTAGCATATAAATTAGAGTTACTGCTTATAATTTCGCTCCATTTATGTCAAGTACTTTTCATTCTTGATGTTACCGCAGCTCTTATTAATTATAAGGTAAGAAGCTTAATCATAAAAATGGATCATTATCTCAGTCTATCTATACTTTATAAAAGGCGTAATAAAATATTGCATTGAACTTTTATGTAATAACAGTTTCTCGCTTTTTTTTTCTTCTATTCTATAAGACGTTAAACGGTGGTACGGTCGAAATTCAAACAGCGTTTATCGATTGACCCTTCCAATCTCGATTCGTGAAAATCGGCCGGCGGTAATTCTCGCGGAATCTGGCATCTCGGTGAGGTCAAGGAAGGTTTTAAAGAGCGGTAGCGGGCTACGAGGTGACGTGGAGGAGGAGGAGGAGGAGGAAGGAACACCGACGTGAGGTCTCAGAAAGACACGAGGAGGCTGAGAGATGCCTCAGGCTGTGGGCCGAGAATGCGGAACTTTATTCCGTACGTACAATGGCCTCCCACGAGGTCGACTCATGCACGAATTTATGCGCTGCCGGTCGTCGCCGTCGCCGTCATCGTCGTCGTCATCGTCGTCGTCGTCGTCGTCGTCGTCAAGGCAACGTCTCATCATCATCAGCATAACTGTCATTACCCGTTGCCGTAAACAACGACGACACGGAGCGGCGCTCTCGGCCTCCGCCTTCTCCCGGCCGCGCATGGAAACGCGCCTCTTCGCAGAAGGACTCCTTTGCGCAACGATACGCGGTAAAACACGGTGAAGGAGTGCCGTTACTGTATTAGGTAAGAATCGGAGGGTGAAATTCATCGCGAGTGTCGTCAGTCCCCTCCGAGAGTTTTTACAAACGCATCGCTTTCGTCTTTCGCGACGACGTACAGTTGGGATTATATGGTTTACTGCAGTCACGTATAGTATTACATATTTACCACCGTGCGAATAAATTCGTGAAGCGTTTATGATCAACGGTGTAATTTTTGTTTATCACGGTAACCGGCGACTTTCGAGACGGTATGCGCACACGTAACGGCACATAATGAGATACGAAAAATTCGTACACAATAAGACGTCGACGAGAGCGTAATTGATTAGCATCGCCGCGAAGCGATAAGCTGACGTCTAATCTCCTGGCTGGGATCTAAGGCAGCGGTTAGAATAGTTTCGCGCGAAATGCAGCTACGTCACGTAAGGCGATGCAGAGGCGAATCGTGACTATAAGAACAGCATGCGAAGGCAGTTAAGTGTGTCACGTCGCTTTAAACCGCAAGGATTTCTGGTAGGAGCAAACGTGGCGCCGTTCACACGGCGGGACGACAGTGGAAAAAAAATCGCGATCAGGTGTTGATCATCGCGGTCCAGCATCTGTCGCGTCCTCTCTAATCATGCGAAACGTAAACGTGACGGAAGGAGGATGCGCGTTATCCGCGTTACGTCGCTTGTCGATTATTCCATCTGGGAATAAGTCGATTAATTTAATTTTAAATAAGCTGCAAATCATCCTCTCCTTCGTAAAAAGTCGCGCACGGAGCCGTGTAGCTTCGATGACAGTCGAATATAGCGTCGCGACATTCATAAAAGGATGATTCAAATTCGCCAGATTCCTGAGACTCGAGTTAAAGACGAATCTATTGCCTTAACGACGCGGATAGCCGATTGGAGAATAAGAAAATCTTGTGTATATTAAGCGAATGAGTTCTCGCAGGCGGGCGGTCAGTGTACGTGTACCTTTAACGCGCACGTGCGATAGCCTCGAAATTGGACGCTTGAATCGGACGTGTCTCAGCACTCGCCCCCCTGGAGAGACTCAGCGGTGCGTCTCGTCGAATAACGTAAACAATATCTCCCTTCCTTCACTATATTCGTGTTGTCGCACGGCGACGACTGACCCGCCTTAACGTACATGCCGGACCGCACGAAAAGGAAGGCTTACCGTGAAACCGCAGATGAATTCGTGTGGTCAATTTTTAATTTAATTCGAAGACTCGAAAACTGTATACAAAACTTGCACGGCATTTAATAATTCGAAAGCGCCGAGTCATCGTCGCTGCAGCAATTAGGCTGCTGCGCACGATTTCAAGCCGTTGCTTTGCATACGTTTGCTAATTATAACGCTCTTCATCATAACGTGAGAATCGTTGCTGCTTAGCGGTACATAATTGCTTGGGACACTCGGATTTTTCTATTTGCGGGTCTATCGAAGCCCCGCGGACGTCCGGCTTCCGTGCAAAGTCCTGACCGCCAATATCGTTGATCGGCTGGTTTTTGCGACCGTACGTGCGCCCTGGAGCCAGCCGAGATATGTACGCCCGTCGTATCGCCTTGGTACCTGCCGCTGACACGACGACGTTCTAACGGTATTCCTTCCACTGTAACAGGTGCTCAGTACAATCTCTCTCTCTCTCTCTCTTTCTCTTTCTTTCTCTCGGTGCTTAACGCCGGAGAACCGAGCGTATCTACCTGGTACACGGCGCGGCGGGGAAGAGGGGAAGGGGTATCGGAATCTTTTTTTCCTCTGTCCTCCTCATCTTGAAATTTATTCAACGATGTTATATGGGTCAGTCGTCCGTTAAAAACACGTTTCTCGCGAGGTGGGCACGCCTCAGAGGACGCGAGCGCGAAGATCCACGATGTACACGCGCATCGCGTGCATCTTAATGTGCACCGCTGTGATATCGGACCGCTCCGCCGCTTTGTGCGAAAGATAAAGCAACAAGTAGGATGGAGTCGTATGGCGCGCGCGACTCTCCGGCTCAAGTACCAATAAAGGAGCATTTATATACTAAACATCACCGTTACTCTTCTCTCTATCCGCCGCCGTCCCCATTCTCAAGACTACTCTCCCCCGTTCCCAGCGTCCCCAAGGGGGTATATTGCAAATGAAAATAAATTTCTCCTAATTGGATCGTGAGTCTTTGGACGCCCCTCTGTTTCTCATCGCATGTTCGGCAGTTACAGTTTGTTGTCTGCGGTCCGTCTACTTTGATAGAGATTTAACCGCAGAGATTTTCAGTCGCGCAAGATCGTGAAGAGCCTAAACACGGCCGACACGGGATTTATCACACGGAGAGAAACGCGCCAACCGGGCCGCGAGTTTGCGAGACGCGATTCCTACGCGTTACGGTCGGCTTTCCTGAATTCGATGAATGAATTTTCGTTGCGTCTTGATCTACTTCGGTAGACACGTGACGCGTGCCGATGGTATCCCGTGAATGCGAAGTTTTCAGGCTCGATCGCGGCGAAAGTGGACGATTTTACTGTTCACAACGATCGCGCGTGTGCACTATGGCAAATCAGGCCGGACTCGATTCCGCATTCAATGCAGACGTTCATCGCCGACAGGGAACAGCCGGAAAAGAAGGAAGGAAAACGCGGACGTGCTCGAAGGCGACAACGAGAAAACGATTTTTCGTAGCTGTACATACCAGCAAACTGGGTTACGAGGTCGCTCGGTTCGCCACTGCCCAGTTTTCTACGAGAGCCGATAAGATTCGAGCTGGCACGCATGGGCATCTCTGTCCCGCGAGTAGAAAGCGCCCAAATTTTTGTCGTCGCCGGTCGTCTCTCTCGAGCCGGGTATGGATCTTTGGCCGTGGAATCATTTCCGCTTTCATGCGCAGGAGAGACGTGTAGATCGCTGAGAGATACGCTTTAATTCTTCTTATTTCTCCGAGACGGGATAAACGCGGCAAAAAGATAAAGAAACTCAATCGGTTCATGGTTTTGTCTCTGCGGAGTGGCTTGAGCTGGCGACGACGCCAGGCGACAAACACGCTGTTATTTTATCAATTTTCGACAGCGAGGTCTTTTTTCGAAGAGCAATCATTTCGCTCTCTACGTTTATTGCCGCGCAATGAAGCGCTGATTTCGCCGATCTCGGTGATTCTCTTCGCTTCGAGAAGAATGATTATTGGGTGCGCGATCATTTCCTCTCGAGACGTATCGCGAAAAGAAGAAGAAGCGGGGACTTTCACTTTCGTACGGCGCCCAGCATCGGCTTGCGTTATCGTTTAACCGGCGTAATGACGCGTCCAGTCAACGGCATCGCGAGATTATATTCTAAAAACTTTCCATTTTGCAATTAGCCGCAAATTATGCAACGATGCAGCCGATGCTTTTTGTTCTTTTTTTCTTCTGCCCCCGCATTCCGCGCGTCTCGCGTTGAACGGCGCGGGTTTATATAACTTCAATCTTCTTCTCCCGCGATCGATCTCACCGTGTCGTCGACTTTCGTTATTTTTACGACGCGATTTACGAATCGGTCTTAGAGCGTAAATCGAACAAGTTGTACAACTTTCGAGATATTATAGCTATCGCGCGTGTATAAGGCTGCAATAAATTTAATTGCCCCGAGTCGACATGGTATAAATTTTCCATTAAGTATGCCAAATAAGAAGGTAAATTGCGTCGAAATAGCAGCTCCGAGGTAAACCCTGTTTACCCGTGTGTTTACGTCCTGAAAACCTATTTTCGCGGCCGTGTAACGTATATACCTACGCAACGATACCTCTCTCAGAGGTATTGGCCAATGACGCGGAATTTCTATGAACCGTGCGCGAGCGTAATATTCACGGCAGGTTTCACACTCGCTAGAGTGCAATTGTCACGCTCGCAGGCAATTTTACGCACGCTCCTCGGCAGCGCAGGCTTTCTTTCCAGGCCTGAAAATGGGATGTTGCATCGTAACTTGACGCAACGGCCGAGTCGCGAAAATGCCTCTCAGACGTCGCATTGTAACCTACTTGCTTACGCCTAATTTCATACATATGCTTCTTAATGTCAGTACAAGCTGTAGTTTGTCGCAGAGATAAGTGTATTTCTGGAGCGTTGCGCTAATCGAAAGTTTTAATTGATAAATAATTATTGAAAGAATACGTGAAATCAAGGCTCTTCGGATTCTTGTGGTTTCACATTTATTTTAACATTTTCAATTCACGATTTACGATCGAGATTCCACGCGAATTTATTCACACATAAAAACCGCTATTTATGAAATAGAGAGAGTTGCTAGGGACATAAAAAAATTATCTAAGGAGCCTTAAAATTGAAAATGCATTCGAGGGTGTTCCAAAAGAGGTTTCAACGATAAGAGAATTCTTCATGGTGGTTTACTTGGCTTATCGTCGGACCTTTATACTCAAAGTCACTCACCAGAAGAGGAATCTCTCAACGGTCTGGACGGTCTGTGGCCGATGGGATGTTGCGTCTGATAAGGCGGTGGCGTCGCCGCGCTATCGGATCCTATGCCGCTGCTGGCCGCGCTTCTCGTGCCACCCCTGTCAACGGCCGTGCCACCACCCACGATGGTCTGATTCAGGCAACGCCTGAACTCGATGCCGGCCAAGTTGCCGCGGTGCCTGTGCACGGTGTCGTAGTCGCGCGGCGGCAGTAATATCGGGCCGACGTCGTTGTCGCCGGAATTGCCTCTGCCTGAAACACGATTGTCCGCTTCGTACCCACGTTGCCTTGACACGCATGACGCGCTCGCGCGGACGTTCGTCGTTCGTTCTCTCGTGCGCGCGGCCAATATCGCGGACTGCGAGAGCAGCGTTTCATACGAATGGTAATGACGAGAGGCGAACGAAATTCTCAAGCATTCCAAAAAGTCGCATAATTTATATTGTATCTTACGTTTCTACTTCATTTCTATTTCTTTTTTGTTCATTTATAAAATTTTTTTGGTATACGCGATATAGTATTCGAAATATTCCACTTACTTTTTGATATGATCTTGTATATAGTCTTGTATGAATGCATATAACAAGCAATCTTTGCAGGAAATAATATTTACCTAATTTTGCCCGCAACTCGGCGGCCAAAGACTCATAAATGGTCGTGGTTTGGACCGGATCGTGTCTGAGCTCACCGCTACCTTCGGAAGACTCGGACTCTCTGGTACTTCGGCCATCGCTGCCTAGATTGCTGCGGATTCTGCCTTCGCTCGCCGTGACCCTGGCCAAATTGTCGGCGTGTGACGCCAGCGCTTTCAGCTGGCCACCTAACAATTCGGCGGTCTCGACCGAGTCGCATCTAGAATGGTCAAGGAGCAGGGCGATAAGATAAAACGAAGGTTCTGCCTTCGTCGAAATGGCGGAGTAGAACGAGAGACAGATGTAATCTCATCCTGTGTTGGCTCTATAGCGATACTCCAGAGTTGTAATTTGCCTGTCTTCCTTTACGTAACGTTGCACGCAAATGCTATACCGAGTGTCTCAAAACAATCGAGCGGCGGCGAAATAAGATTGCGTATAGATAAGGTATACGGAACAAAACTTCTATGTACGACAAGTGTGGGATTAAGCCGCACTGTTTATGAAAAATACGCGGAAAATGCGCATCTTGTTACACGTAGATATAAGCTCGTGATAGGTGTACGACGTTCCCAGCGAGAAAAAGATCGGCTATTCCTGCTCATTTAGGTCGTCGGCGTGTACGAAGTTATACCTTATATACAATACACCGTCGCGGGATATATAGTTGTAATATTTCGTCCCGAGCTCTTCTATACAGCAAAATGTTCTTTAACGGGATTTCCATTGAGCATACCAAAGAGATCGCGCGCGCCTTCGCGGTTAAACTTCGATTGAACAATCGCCGTCGATGTCGATTCTCACGGAACGACATTTACAACTCTGTTTCTGTCCCCCTCCCCGCGTCCTCGTGCACGTGATAAAATTCGGTCGGCATCGTCGGAGCTCCGAAAACAATTATTTCGAACGCGCGCTAATTATCCCGCCGCTGTGAAGCAGATCGTTGAACTAATAGCCCTGATAATTTGCAATTTAATGACAAGGTTGCTCCGAATACTTTTATCCGTTCGCAGCTTCGCCGCGACGATATATACATAACGCGGCTGAGCTATACGTGCGAACGCGCCGCGGGATTATGAAAATCATTAGCGGTCCGTTAGAATTACGAAAGTCGTTAATTAAAGTACGAAACGTGGCTCGTAATGGGCTGAGATCGAGGCGATGAACCGAATGGCCTCTGTTTAACCGCGAATTCCTGGCGCGGACTTGATGAATAAATGAGTGCGAATCTTAAGTTCCCATGTTGCGCGTCTGCATTCTTAATAAAGGTCTCTACACTCGAAGTTCTACATTCTTGTCTGATTAATAAATAAGCGAATTGAATACATCTGATCGACTATGGAAAGAGAATGAAGCTAATTAACATAAGAATTGTCTTATTTTTTTGTCAATCTTAATATTCAGTCAATATTTAAAGAATGCGTTAAAAATTAGTTCTCTTAGATTAAGTAGCTTAACTTATACAACTAATTTATGCTAGTTGTGTTGTAATAAATTTAAATAGTGACCTGTATGCATGCACGTGCACGGGATTGTTCGTCGCCGGATTTGGCAGGAGCAGAGTCGCGGCCACGACGTCCTCCCGCTGCACAGCTGCCAGCACCGCGTGACCTGGTACCAAGTGCTTCACCGCCGATCTCGTCGAGCCACCAGGATGAACAGTTTGTATAATCTTCAGACCTTTGTTGCTCACCTAACAAATACAAATGTACGTCGTTCACGTCGCTGGTTGCAAAGCTCGTGCGCGCGCGCGCGCGCGCGCGAGGGCCCCTTGCGCAAACCGCGGCTTTGTTTGCACCTCGCGAAGAATATCGCGAGGATACTTGGCGATACGTTCTGCACTACGGTCACGTTTAAATGCATAACTAATAAAATAGATATAGATTAGTGATAAAAAGCATATGCTTATTCCGATGTTTCGGAATAAGATTTTGCCTCTTGAATTTTCAACGCGATGATAAACGTAACATCGCTCGCATTAATTAGCGATCAATTCATATCAATCGAAGTTTCTCGCATCGCGTGCAGTTTTAACGTTCTCTCGGTTACCTTGTTCTTCATCTCGCGTCCCGCGCAAACGTTCGTCCTTGTACTTAAAGTGAATCACATGGTAGATATGCGAGAAGGCGTGTGCCGCGCGTAATTCTCTCCCCCGTACAATGTGTTCCACTTCGCGAAAACACTTAATTACCGCGCTGTCGATCATCGCGACGATTCGGATTGCTGAAACGCTCGCGAGACCGGTTATGGATATCTGCCACCCACAGACACTTCGACTTTCCCCGCGCATCGTCGCTACGCTAACAATTAAACTTACACAACAATTAAATCTTGTTTCATAACGCTTTTTTTCGACTCAACGTACGTGCTTTGCCGTAAATCTCGATTGCACAGCAAGTGCACCGGACAAGTTGGAATAACCATTTGAAAACAAATCATGTAAAAATATCTAACGTAAATACATGTTTATGTAATATCTGTTTTTTTTTATCATTTAATACTTATAAAAAAAATATCTAATGTATACTCTCTAAATTTTTTGGAGTGAATCTCACTCCAAAAGATTGAAAATACTCGGCCACTTGAGTGGCAGTATTTTCACTCTTTTGAAGTGAGATTCATTCCAAAAGAGTGAAGTCATTCCAGAAAATTTATAGAGTAAATATCTGTTTTTCTTTTTATCATATAAAGCAAACAATAACCTTTAACGAAATTTCGCGATGACGTGCGAATACAGTTGGAGATAAAGCCTAATCGGTTACTCAACTGTCCGGGTTTCTATCGCAGACCGTTCACGCGCAATAATCTCCTTTTAACAGCACGCGGATTGGCGCATCTGGTGAACCCTAATGTGACGTTGGCTAAAAATTTATTACAAAGAACCCGTTCGCTTCATTTGACACCGTTAATACAAGCGCTAAATCGCGCCGTCTGGATTCGAAAATTGCGGCTCTCGAAGCGCGATTTATTGCATCACGTATATACCGGCGGCGAACGCGATTTCTAAACGAGCGAGCGTATCCTTTTTCAGACGTCACTTGATATGCGCCGGGAAGCGCACATGCCACGTGTCCACGTTCAACGGTCGCGGAACAGTTTTGGCGTCGTTGCGCGTTTAATTTCTCTTTTCTCCATCAAAGTAGCGTATTAGCTCTGCACTCGTTCCCGTAAGATTCGGGTCAATGAATTTATTATTACATTTACCGGAGCGGCAAACGCGTAACGTTACAAATACATAATCAAAGTTTGCCTTCGGGGAAAAAAAACGATTTCGTTGCACGCGCGCGCGCTGTAACGAGAATATGTCGGCAACGACAACGTGTTGAAGAAAAGAACGCGCATCCTCTCTCACCGATTTCAGTTACGGACGATCAGAGATCTTTTAACGGGAATTACAAAAAACGCGCTGTACAGGATGACTCCTTCCTCCTTCGCAACACACGTATGTATTGCGAACGCGCGTACCATCGGGGTTAACGCATCTCTCTTCGGTCGCGCGTTTAAGTACCGAAAATTCCCACGTTCCTAAAATGCGCCGGAGCGCCGTCAAAAACCGCGTCGGAAACTCGTTCGTTCCGCCGCAATCGACCGGACGGGAAAACCCGTCGAGCGAACCTACGGCCGCCGGGATAAGATCGTTAATTTCGCAATTTTTGTGTTCCCCGGCGACCGCTTTCACTGTCACGCGTGCGGACACGCGGGAAAAAGAAAAAGACGAAGACGTAGAAGGGAAAAAGAAAACCTACGATTGGTATACTATAATACATCGACGCGAGTTCCGGTCGGTTGGGTCCGCCGTGGCGCGGACCGTCGCCGGTCGATTCGTTTCCGCGATATTTTCGGGTTGCGGCGCGCCGCCGAAACCGGATTTCAGGATGGTACCGCTCACCTGCAGTGTGACCTTGAAAGGTTCTTGAAGCCGTTCCCGCTCCAGCAGGTAAGCTATGGCACCGGGCATCGCGTCCACCCCCTTGGCCTCTCTCGCGCCAAGGTACCAGACGTAATAGAAGCTCTTCTTGACATCCTTGCTGCCCCTCAGGCGCAGAGCCATCGCTCCACTGTTCGCGGAAACAAACGGATTTCATCATTTCGCCTTCTTCCTAGGGACTCTCTCAGGGGGACTCGTTATTCAGGAAACGGATTGATACGGTGAATGGCGCTGGATGTAGCGGCCCGTTATTATGGGCGTATTCGATACTTAATCGAGACTCGTCGGATGAGTGCCGTCGATTTATTTGATTTGAGAACAAATTCAAGATTACAAACAGATTTCTCTCTTGCAATACTTCTATTATCCGATCTTGAAACGCTGAGCTCGTTTTTAAAATAAATAAATTATAGCGTAACGATAATTTAATGTTTGAAGATGATTATAAAACTCTTGGTACAAAAAGATAATGTAAAGTGTCTCGCGACAGTTCGTTGTTCTTGACTGCTGCGACGAGAATTTTATCTTTTAATATTACGGCTCAAAATGTTTCGATAATAAATTTAAGAATCGTGATGGAGATGTTGTAACATCAAATGGCTGAAATCAAGTCTTGTGTGATGATGGATAACGTGGGATGTACACAGTCTGCCGATAATACGAACGTTAGCGCATGCTCACGCGCGGAAGTGTTTGACAGAGGTACGGAAATTGTCGATAATCTTACTATCGCGTGAAACGTAAATGGACATTATTTCCTGCATAATTTTTCTTTAATTATACTCTACGCCTCTCTCTCTCTCTCTCTCTCTCTCTCTCTCTCTTTCGATCGCGATGGAAAAATGTCAATTTTCCACGAGCCAGGCCTTTTACCTGGCCGCCGCGCAAGGGGTATGAGCCTGTCGGTTCATCCACTTCCTCAATTACTTTCACGCTTAAACCCGTTTCCACGTTATCCATCTCGCGGCGGATCATTTCCCGCCGATCCTTAACGACGACGATGCTTTATAACGAAAATATTGTGCAAGATGAAAGTGTGCCGATACGTGCCGCGATCGATGCCGGGATAGATCATTGGAGGAAATTCACGCGTTTCTAAACGTGATCAATCTCGACAAGTATCAGTTTTTGATATTTCATATGACTCCGTTTCAATTATCGTTATCATTACAATATGATTTTACATGAAATCTTTCATATGAGAAAATATGCGAGTTCCTCTTGTTTTTCAAAACTCACTGTGTTTTAAATATCTTCAGAACGTATTCATGCGCGAATACGTCTTTCTGATCCTTAAATCAACATTCGTTCGTAACTACTTAAGCGTGCTTTGCACGTCTCTTTTCCACTTGATGCTATATGCGCGCACCGAATTTCAAATATCTTGATTGTGTCGTCGCGCGAATAGTTATATTATTAAAAAAAAACACTCGAAAGATTAATAATTTTGCAACTTTTTTTAAATAAAGCACAATTAATTTCCACATTCATAAAGAGCCCACTTTAAAATCGCTGGTGTTATTTCAGTTTTAAATTGAATCTCGATTTAAATTATTAAAAAAAAAAAACGGAGGCACACGATCGAAACTTATATCGAGACGGTATTTAAAAACATTTAAAGGTATCTTCATCGCGGTCTCATCTTGGTGGCTCTGCCGAGAGCCCTAGTCTCCCTGCAGCGGAGAAGTATATATACTGTGATCCTATGCTAACACACTACCGTAGGTCGCCACTTGCCTGTATATATGTCGGAGGTCTTCGCCTCGCGTTTCGCAGCTATCCCGAGGAAAATCCGCGAAATCCGCGTGCGATATCCCGCGTCCTGCGCAACGAAACACGCGCGTCCCGCCACTCGTCACATGCACACGCGACCGTGGGCGCACGAACGCGATATGCACACCTGTAACTCGCGGCCTCGTCTGACAGCTGCGGGAACCTAACCACTTTTCCACGGGGCACGGGGCCGTAAGGCCGCTCCGTTCTGCCGAGTGACGCTCGCCGATCTGAACGGCGGGAACGGAACGGAACGGAACCGGGGACCAGGTGAGCGGGCCCCTCGCGACTCGCTAAGAAGCGAAATCGGCCTTCTTCGAGGCCCCTCGGCTCAGCTCGCCGACCTGTTGCGCACCGAGGACGCACCGAAACTCATTTCGGGTATATATCGATATATGCTGAATTCCATGGGGGATAATGGAGGATAGTGCGCGAGCGAGAAAGAAGAGAGAAGGAAAAAAAAAGAAGATAAAGGAACTTGGTGAACGCGGCAGAGAAGGAGGGACGATCAGAGATTTGACCGCAGAGGCCTTATACGCCTCGGCCCTATGGCGACCTCTCACGCTTGTTCCGAAGGTCCCTGACGTCTCCCGATCTTCTCTGCCCTTTCTCCCGCTACTCTCCTATATCCCCCGTTCTCTATCTGACCGCCACACCTTCTCGAAGATCGACTTGGGATCGGCCGCGACGGTAACGCGCTCCGCTCTCGGAAAGAGAAAGAGAGAGGCCAGCGACTTCTAACCGGCGCTGCCGGACAGATTCCGTCCTGAATTCGTGTCTCGGGGCCCTCCCCCTCGCCCCTCTCGCCTGTCTTCGAAGAAGAAAGAGAGAGGAACAGTCTTTTCCTCTCTCCTCCCGCTCCCTTTGCTCCTTTCCCTCTTTCTCGCGCCTCTTCCAACGACATCTCTTTCTTTGTCTCTCGGGTTATCTATCTGTTCGCGTCTACCTTTTATATCGCTCGTGTTTTCTTCTACCTGCCTCTCTTTGGACCCTTCGCTGCACCGATTGTGATGGGACCCAACTTAGTAGACGAAGGAACAAGAAAAAGCATTTTTATGATCTTTTTTTATCAGATATAAAATTTTATCAGTCTCTGTCTCTTGTCATTTTTCTCGCTGTCGTTTACTACCAAAAATTCCGCCAAAGTGCAATAAGAGAATGAGAGAGAGAGAGAGAGAGAGAGAGAGAGAGAGAGGAGGGGGGAGGTAGAATGCAGTCTCTAACTGCGAGCGCATCTCCTCTCTGTACCTACGTCCGTATATAGACATCACAGGTCTCGCTTCGTAAGACGCCAGATATTTCAAAATGCGACGATTAATGATCGATGACTTTAAGTGGATTAGTTACCTCATTTCGGAGGCAATAATCATATCGATAGGCATCGAGAAATCACGAGAAAATTAAGGAATATTGAAGGACGGTTTATTTACAAGTTAGTTGTTAGATTTAAACGATATCTATATTGCGACATCAATCATTTAATTTGCAACTTCAATCGATCGGATCAAGGATGAATCACATGGTGTGTCCAAGATTCAGCTAGCGATTTAACAAATATTTATAGCCTCGAATCATCTGGTGTAAATATTGCCTCATCATTTGATCGCGCGCGGCATTTCCTTTTCGACGCGAATCATACATAATTCATAAATACCGTAAACTCTAGATTTATCTCTCTTTCCTCTCGTAATACCGTATATATAGAATATACTTTCTAGGTACTTCTACAATCTCTTACAATTACGAAGACGGAATACATGTTCTTAACATAATCAAGAGATTTACATAAGTATCAGCATTTATCTAATTGAGGCGCTCATTATTATCAAAGGATTTAAAAGATTCTTAAGATGGGTGACAAGTCATGAAGAAATTATTCGGCGATCTCTCTAGAAAATAAAAAATTATCGTGTAAAACGGGTTTATTCTCTCTTGAGACAGGAAGCCTGCCATTTCATAGCGGCGTATGCATCACAGAGGGAAGTTCAATCTAATCAAAGTAACGGCTTGCTAGCGCGGCGATTGCTGCGCTCTGAAGCTCGGTGGAAACGCGTTTACATAACTTAACATATGTAAGGTGCCTTGGGTGCCTAATCGCGGGCGAAGATACGGCAAAACCGGATGGGACCTCGGGGGAAATGCGACGACGTTGAAATCAAACACATTGAGAAAGTGCACGCGGTCGATAATGGAAATCGCACGAAGCTCGTGCGAAGCAGCTGCTGGCAAATTGTGAAACGTAATCTTTCTTAACGTTTCTTAAAAATTAGAAAGTTCCAATATTGAAACTTGCTGAAATTGAAAATTAAAATATTTTCTACAAATGTATCTGTTTAAATAAGGACGTATTTTTCTGTCTGCTGGTTTTCTGCTTATGCGCATTGTCCTTTGTTTAAAATAAAAGCGGGACGATATGAAAGATACATTTTTTTTGTTGCAGTATATTTTTAAAAGATCAAGCTGCTTGTGGGAACGGCGGAAATAATATACCGCTGCTAAACAATAAAATTACTCGTACCGATGTTGATGTCGTTTCACCGCCATTTGCGTGCGGAGCGGAACTCAATTTTTTGGACCTTACGTCGCGAGTATTGTTAGCCAAGCTTGAATCGAGCCTTGAGAATTTCTTCGGCGAGATTAAATACCTTTTTTTATCACTATACCGTACGGAGAAGATGTAGAAAGTCACGATATGTATGACGTAATATAAAACTGTATGATTGAGTAGTTAGGTATTCACGAGACGCTTCGAGGATAAGCCAAGGAAACAAAACGTACAAAGAAAGACATAAAAAACGGATAAAACGTGCATAAAGATATCAGAAAGAAAAAAAAAGGATAATGTTTTTCATGCGTTTAAGACAATATTTTTAAATAAAATATCACAGCTTTTATACTTAAGAAATAAATTGCGGCGACGTTAGTATATAAACAAATGTAAATTTGTGGAGTAAATTTCTGTATCAGCAATATATGTTCACGTGAAGTACAGAAACGCGACTGGTTCACTATCGATTTAAGCTAACTTAAGATCTGTACGGAGCATTAAGACTCACCGCAGCCCTGACATTTCACCGATCGCACGAGGTCATGCAATTTAATTTACATTATCCCTGTGAGTACACTTTGATAGTTCCTATATATTTTCACTTTCTCTTACACACAGTAGTTCTTAAGAAAAACAACTGGTACACGTAAATTCACTTCCGAAGTTGTGTCTGAGGCAATAGTTAACGACTCTAAGGATATTGAAGCTTTGAATAAGTAACGAAGAAAATGAAAAATTACAGTGACATTATAGAAGAAATTACATTATTCCTGAAAAAAAAGAAAAAATATATAAAAATGGTTGCCTTCTATATAAAAATAATAAGAGTACATAATGCTAAAATAATCTAATTATTTAATAATATAATTATATAATTGGATAATAACTTTATGAATATTTGTGATCAAGATTGATTTAGATAAATCACGTCGGAGCTCAAGAAATATGAAGCTATGTAACTTCGACAGTTCGGTAACAGATTGCAGCACTGTGTAGCAACTTTATGGAGGCCTAAGCAATGTAATTTTAATTTAATGTTGTGTTGCGACAGAGCATTATTTTAGAGTTACTCTTACAGTAATGCTAATTATTATTTTAGGTCAGCGAAAGTAAGTGTGTACACTCGATGCTACGAACGCCTTAACACATGACTTATCGCATTTAATTAAATGCTTATATTTATTTATATTATGCAAATTACTTAATGAAATAACTTATGAAAGTATTCCTGGAATATACTTGTAATTATTAGTGCTCTTCAATTCTCTGTGGAAAGGTGAGATTAAAAAGTAATGCGATTCACTTGGTTAGTGGGTCTCGAGAGTTATGCTGTGAAATTGATATGCGTGCCAGGCTATTAATGAATAAAATACGAGCATCCTATTTTGCGTATCAATAGCTTCTAAGCACGGAAACATTCCAGGCTGTATCATCATGCTAAATCATTCCGTGCGCCATTATTGCATATACTAAATTATGAACATAAGAAATAACTGGATCGTAATTGGAATCAGCGTGGAATACAAAAAAAACAATATAGGAAATAGAGTCATTAAACTGTAATGTTATGTAATATGAGCGGACGGGAAAGCGTATTAATATGGATAGTGAGATGAAGATGTAAACATATAAGAACAAAAGTTTAGACTAAAAAGGCTTAAGATAATAAATTATAATAAATAGATGGAATATATATTAGAAACGATAATTGATTTAGTTGTAAAAGAATTAACAATCTTATATCAAAAGTATAATAATCACGTTACAATGCCAAACAATGATTTCAATTAGGTTGCAGTTGTGATTTACGAAATATATTATAATTAAAAATATCAAAAAGTATATTCGAAAACAATCAGCAATGACAAATGATTAATAAAATAATATGTATTGAAGATAATTATATCAGTTTTAGAAGCGTTCAATTTTGAATACTAATAAATAAGTATTATAGTAAAGAATTATCATTTAAGAAAAATTCTAAATGGCCAAAAATTACACCCAAAAAAAAAAAGTTCTACTTATTATATAAGCGAGAAATTCCTTTAAACATTTTCTCTAAGCAAAAAAATTTTACATAAAGCATATTCCTCAGCTATAACGTGTATTTATCTACAAAGAAGTGACACGTACGTTATAATCAAGAATATTATCTATAAAGAAGTGGCACATGCGCTATAATCAAGAATAAATTCTCATAGTAATTCGATATTCCTCTACATTTTAGAATATCCTCTTGAGCCATATATAAAAGGAAAATCTTTTAGCATCAAGAGGGTACCGCTAAAGGACAGAATATTTTTTTTGAGTGTAAAATATAAACAAAAATTTTTTTAAATCAATTTAATTTTATGTTTCTTTTAAAATATTCAATTTTATTAAATTTTAGAATTTTATTTTACTGCTAAAATAACAAAAATAATTTTAGTCAAAGTTTAATTTTAATTCGTCAATTATGATAAAGATTTTTAAACACGGCACACAAATAATTGTTGATATACTCATTGACATACGTAGCGACAGCAGGTAAAAAGGATTACTGGTAAACTGAATTGATTATTGGTACTCACAATTTTTTCGCGGAGAATTTATTAGTTGAATATAAAAACGACAAGTGGAAACAGAAGGAAAAAAAAGAAATGATAAAATAAAATCTTAACTGCCAATAACTATTCTCGTTTTTTTTACATTCCCATTCACCTGTCGTTACACATCAGTTCTTTCACCCACGCAACCTCTGCGCAGGCTCTACTCTGCTCTAACACTATCACTCATCCATGAAGAACACCCCGTGGTATCGTCGAATCAGTATAGCGGGGAGCGCTTAACGCGATGCTACTATGCAGTATACTGCGTGGAGCGCTATCCGCGTCTTTCGGCACCGTCGTGCAGATTGCGATCTTTTTACTGCAGAACACCAATATCTCGAGAGTGCTCGCGTCCATGCCACCGGGAGCCGGTTAGTGCGATGTATTTTTAAAGTAGTTGACTATGGTCGAATCTGTATGAAGATAGTGATAAACATAGAGATATATAAAAGCAGCTCTGTTTTGCATTTTCGAGATTGTAGTGCTCACTTTTGCATTTAGATTAGCTTTCAAATTGCGCTTGATTCTACTTCTAATTTAATTAAATTAGAATTAGATTTTAATTTTATAATTAGACATTTTTTGTATTTAGTTTTACTCTTCAATATTTTTTTTTTTTTTTTTTAGAATGCTGTTACTTTTAATTTAATGCAGAATTATTTTATTGAAGGAATTCCTCCATTTTGATATTTTGTACCATTCCGTATAAGTTACTGAAATTATTATACAAGCTTAATAAAATACGAGCTTCCTGCGCGAATAAATCATATGTCTTTGCTCCACGGTGTTAGTGTCTCGCAGTAAATTTTACGCGCGTACAGGTAGCGTGCGTGAATCAGCCAGCGGCAGGTAGCGTATACGTGGTTCCACGTGCTCGATCGATTCGGAAACGTTCTTTCACATCGTGATACACGTGCACGTGAAAAACACAAGCAGTGTGTGCTTCGCGCTCTATGATCTCATTTCCGCGCGAAGTGTATTCTTCCGTGACCTTGTCGTCAATGGGCTACCAGCTCGCGTTATTCGAAATTGAACTGGTTGCCGTTTAGGCGTCTAAGAGACCGCTTTAAGTAATTCAGCGCTTTTATGCAGGTGTGCGCCAGGTAATCGATATTATTATCAGCATGCTCATATACGTACGCAAATATGGTACTACGGTACTATTCTGACTCCAATAAGGCACCGATGTTTGCTCGATAAGCTTTGTCATAATTTTGTTGATATATTCAATGTATTGTAATGTTAAAAAAATATTCATATTATAAAAAATAGATTCTTCTTAAAACAAATTGTATCAAAAGTATTCATTACTTGATGCCATGCGTCAGTAATCATGATACTACTACTGTATCGTAGAAACGTCGGTGCGATGAATTTACGGGAATACCAACGAGAATGCAATGGAATGAGCAGCGCGGCATACGGGGGTTAATAGCGATCAATTCGGCACATTCTCACCATAGGAACTCCGTTTTCTATTGATTTAACACTACCATCACGTACCTAAAAATACCTGAGGTATAACGCCGCGTGACTGTATTCTGCGTATGTGTGGAATGATTGAATGAAGTTCTTCAATGCGACAGAAAAAGAATATACGCCTATACGTTAATGCAGCGTACACTGTATTTATATATGAAATCACTGCATTCTCTCAATCATTGAAAACTGGGTGAATTTGGAGACAGGGATAAATTACTTCACTCATAGATGTACCTACGAAATTGCGAAACTGCGAGCGATCGGATATACGTGGAACTTCAACAATATTTCCGCACCGGAAAGTCAAACGAGGCGTGAAACCAGGTCGTCGTAACAACGTGAAAAAAAATTCCGCGAAGAGAATAGATCATGGACGCGTAGAGTATTTCCACGTAGTGTCATAATTAAGCGATATAATTTCAGCGATGACAAGCTGCAAAATCTGAAATTGTTCAATAATCAAAATCAATTCGCTCCAAAACTCGTGCCATTCGCTAAAATACTAAACTTCTTACTCTTTCTCGTAGTCTTCAGCGTGAAACAGTAAACATGAAACTTTCAGAGCTCAAGAGTACATTACTCCCCACAATTACCGGAATTCTTAGAATGACATAATAAACGACAACGGAGTTTATATTTTTGATTCCGTAATTTCAAGTTTCGCTCACGTATGTGAATGGATTGTACAACTTTTATGCTCTTTGATCACGTGATCGCGTGATAAGGAATCTCTAGTCCGATCCGTGTCTTTATATTGTCGCATTTATTATGATCGGCTCATCCTCGGCGGTGTCGTGACATCGCCGATAAGTCGCATGACGGCCGGTCATTGGCCCCCACGAGAGGTACCTCGTGGAAAAACTTCCGCGTACAAACACTCGTGTTTCCTTGCCTTTCTTGTCTCGAAGAACACGAGTTTTCATCGAGTTTTTTTATTCGATAGACCATAACACAATCGATAGACCATAAGATAATCGTTTTACAACACAATAATATTTATCGTCATTGTAGGATATTGAGAATTCATATCTTACGGAAGGTACACTTGCGGCAATAATTCAAGATTATATATTTAGGTACACAATAGCCTGTTTGACATGCCTTATTCGAGGTACAAAAATAAAGACGGCAGGCAAATTTATCAGATCATGTAATTGCTATAATGAATATTTCATTAAGTATACATCGTCTTTCATCGGGCCTCATAACACGCGATCAATTCAGAAGCAAGTGAATCGATTTTCGATGGTGTACAGAGGACGAGATTATCGTGATCGAACATCTGCCGGGACGGCGGGTGCATCTCCAGGATTTCTTTTGGACCGGCCTGGATGACGCGCCGCCATGGGTGGATCCCAATCAGGGTTTAACTTATTACGAGACGAGGACGATCGTTCACACTGTCACAGTTTATCCCCCGACCGACGAGAAGGGCCCGTCGGATCCGATATCTCCTCATCGTCCAGAATGCGTCACGTGCATAGAACCGACACCTAGGTTGGACGATGACGACGATCAGAGCATCGGGATCCTCATCGGAGATGATCCTGGTCCGAGGTAGATTATTTAATAATTATAGAATAATATACATGTTTTTTTTTCTAACAAATAAAGAGTTCCAACAAAACGATGGAAAGATGTTTGATAAGTAAATCGATAAGCTTAAATTAATTGACGTCGTTAAATATCACTAACATAAATATCGCTTTACCATGCTTAGAGGTGAAAACAAAGAAAGGTAAATTTGTGTTGACAGGTACTGGCTGTTGACAGTTCTTCGACCAGGCGAAGCCGTACCGCCCAAAGTCGAGCTTCGTTTGGCTCGCTTGTATCGAGCCGCGTTTGCCAGACAGCAGCAACGGCATCTTGGCCTGCTGTCGACGGATCCGCGATCACGAAGAGACGCGTTGTTGCGCGATTTGATTAACCGAAAGGTATAAAAAATACGCTTAGACATTAATTCCTTTTCTCATTCTTATTTTTTTCAATATCGCCAGAATATACAAAATCGTCTTGGAACTTCATCCCAAGTGAGAGCTGCGCGAGAAGAGATTCCTGCAAACACAACTGAAACTCAATCATCCGAATTAACAGTTGGCACTATCGAAAGCTCTTCGACTCACGCGGAAACTGAGGCGAGCGTTCCAAGCTTAGTCGATGAGCAATTCTTCTCGAACGTCTCGCAAGTCAAGTCCATGAGAATGATCGAAATCCCCAGGCCGAGAAAGATGTTGCTGCCAATATTCGATGACGCAACGAATGATTACGAAAAATCTACAAAAGACGATTTCGCTCTGAAGAAGATCATAAAAACGTTGAAGGGGGAAACGAGAGCCTTGTCTACGCAGAACGATGAGTCTATAAACGTCGCTCCGACACATCTTATTCCCGATGCAATTGACGATACCAGCAAACAATCCCCACCAGAATCGACGCCAATTCCCTCGTCTGATTCAAAATCGAATACTGATAGCATCTCCAGAAGCCGATCTAATGACGAAGATGCGAGCGTGCGCTCGAGATTGCGCTTAGCGGGCGGTTCGATTCCCGGGGTCGTAAAAGTCAGAATGCAGAATACGAGCGTTATCGAGAGCGGCGCGATGAGATTGATCTATTCGGTTCATCTCGACGATAAGCCCGTTCCTGCTGAAACGGCCGCGAGAGACATGGCGCTTCTCTCGCCCCAGGAAGTCGCCCTGGAGCTCGGTGCACCGGTAATCATTCAAAGCGAACGTAAGTAAATAATAATCTTATCGAGAAGGATTTTGTAAAATTGTGGACGTACAAGTTATGTTACATTTTCTCTGTAGCTTATCTGAAGGAGAGTAGACCTCTGGCTCTGTCGAGGAGGAGAGACGCGTGGCTACTGATTGGTGCCGCTAGCGCGGGTGTCGTTCTGCTAATTTTCGTTCTCGTTGGCTTGATCTTGGTTGCCAAAAGGAAGAGGGCACATAGCGCTGTAGTTGCACCACCGAACAAAAGTATTCTTAAAAAGGAACGTGAATACGCGACCACGACGTCTGGCCTCGACAACACTGCGTTCTCAACGTCGGAGACAGAAATCAAGGTATGCAATACGATTCCTACTTTTTAATCAGATAAAAAATTATTTTTCGAATTAGGAGTGCGAGTTTTTGTGCGAGTCAGCGATAGCTTGAATTTCTGTTGCATGGCATGCATATTTTGTTATATGCAGAGCGCGTGTAACAGTATACGTCTGCTAAATTGTATCATGTGGAATTGTGGAAGTCTCTTGTAAAAGAATACTTCATAAGTTTTAAAGTTCTTTTCTTGCGTGATAAAGATTACTATGGGATACCCATGAGGAAATAAGCGCATTAAAACCATTACGGCACGCGAACGATCAACGAAACGATGTTGGAAATTATTACGAAAGGAAGACAATCCGGTTTCACGATGTCAGGCACAATATCGATTCTAACAAAATATGGACGCGCCATTACTCCCACCCCGCCGAGCAAATTGTTACTTTTCGGATCGCATATCACCGTCTCTTATCCGGCCCACCCTTGTTCGCAGACCGACGGTACCAGTCAGCGGCAAACTCCGCGGACGTTATCCCGAACTCCGATCACGCCCGACACGCCCGATAGTCTGGAATTAGACGTTCACGAAATTTCCAGCGACGACGACGAAGAACCAAAGAAAACTCGCGGATCGGTCCTTTGGGGTCAAGAACACGTAGCTAAGAGAGCAAGGTAATCAGCAAAATTCGTAACAACTGAATTAAGAGCGATTAATTATTAATAATTGCTGATCTTATAAGAAAATTAATAATAATAATATAAAATTAATATATATAAATATATTAAATTAATTATATAATTAATAAGTAAAAGACAAAATATATATGTGATAATTGTACATTTTATACGGAATATAGAGCATCTCATGGAAGAATGACGAGAGCGGACGCAATGGACCGAGCCGGGTCACCGGACTCATTAACCGATCATATAGAGACACTGGAGTCCTTGGAAAATGGCTATGTAAAACATAAGGAAGAATCTACCGCTTCGCCACAATCTTATTTATCGATGCCATCGTGCAAGCAGTTTCCTAGTATGCGCAGCGTAGAACCACTGTCAAGAGTGTTGGAACCTGTCATGGTAATTTTCAAAAAATGAGTCGACCGATATAAATCCTCAACTATACTAATGATAAAATGTACTGTAGGTCAGGCACTTAGACATCGATTCTCCAGAATTAGTGTATCACGATAGAGACAATACCGATGACACGTTCCTCGCGAGAACATCGAGTGCCTCGAAGGATCCTGGAGCTGTAGGACCCATTGTTTGGAATCTTAATAAACAATTGTTCTCCACAGAAGGTACCTATAAATATTACTGTTTAAACTATGTGTTTAATATTAATATCTATTATTGAAAAATGTCCTGCTAGTGACACCAATGTTTCTCTTAGTATCGATTACGAACGAATAAGTATAAATGTACATTAAAAATAATATTTTCCAATTCAAAAATATGGGGTAAAGTTTTACACCAGCTCATTCGTTCGCAATCGACTGCTGCAAGGTGTAAGCAATGTTCGTTTCTTCACAATCTCTCGAAAGATTCGACTTGTCTAAAGGTAATGGTACATCCGAAACGGATATCGATGGAGTGTACCGTCTACCACCCGGACCCGTGGGCCGCGCCAGAAGGAGACTGCACGAGTTGCTCGAAGACTCCTTCAGTCTCTTCGGAAGCAGAGACGTCAAGATCAAAGAACCGCAGCGACTGCCGCAGCCACCGATCTCCGTTGCGCGTACACCGGATACGCTCGCGATCCTCTCGGAAACCAGAGGCAAATCCGCCCACGTCAGGTACATATCCTTCTTCTTCTTCTTCTACTTCTTCTAACAGGTAATTACAGTTATCAAAATCTAAAGTCGCTAAATTATTACTAACATCAAATATGCACATTCCTCTACTTTTTTAGGACCAATAAAAGAAAAATAAATATCTCTTAAATGCAGTCAGACTTACAATGAAAAATCGTCTCGCGATATATTGCATCATTATATACAGATTTGAGTGTTTGTAATTTCCATGCCATCTCTTGTGGGCAAGTAGAGCAAGTTAAGCAGAATAGAAGAGTTCTTTACTATTTAGCGAGTTTCTCAATAATTAATAATTAATTTAAATTAAGTAATTTAAAAAATTAATTAATAATGATGCGCATCATGCGAATCAGCGTGCGTCCGCGCGATTTGGCAAATAGAGATACCCTAGCACCACGCGAAAATTATGGTTGCTACGCGCACGTGGGAGGAGCGTGCACCTATAGCAACCACAAATAATGTGTAACATTGGACACTGCCACTAAATTACGCGGATGCACGTTTATTCGAAGAGCTTTATTAATTAATTCCTCATTAATTGAGAAAATAGTAAAACGGTAGAGAATTTTTCAATTTCACCTATTCAATTCTACCTACTCAAGAGAAATGGCACGGTAATTATCAGATCTGTATATATACTATTGGTGCAGTAAATTAATTTAATAAATAATTAAATTAATTGGGCAATAAAAATAAATGTATAACTACACAGTCCAGTAGTAACGCCAACGATGGAAATGAAGACGCGACCCCGTACATCATTACCACGTAAAGGTATGGACGAGGATATTCCGGAGACCGGCCAAACTGAATCAATTCACTCTCGCGGTGCCTGGGGCTCCAGGCCACTCAGCGCGGGTCCGTTTCATCGGCCGAACTTGCCGGAAGTGGACACCAGGCGTATATTGGCGGACAGCAGGCTTCCGCCGGAAGATCCTGCGGTGCCTTTGATCGCGTCGATCAAAAAAGAACTTGAAAAGTTCTCGTCCCAGTAGAGCCCCCTCCTGTAGCGAGTGCAATAGGATGCAATATTTAGCTTAAATACTCGCGCGAAGTGATATACTTAATCTTAAGTCGAAGAACAGTGTAAATATTCAATCAATCTTTTCCACAAAATTTTATAACTCGACGTCGAAGTTTTCGATTACATAGATTATAATGTAGTAGAAACATTTTACGCGTATCATATTTACGTGAAAGCATAAACACATTATAGTAAGAGGCGAAAAATAAATCATGCCGAAGTTTTGCTGTTATAAATCAAAATTGAGCCACCGAATTTAACTTATTAATCAGTCGCTGTATATATCATTCAACATAGAATGCATTTGCGAACTTAACAATACAATCATGGACAGAAAGGTTTGACTGATTAAATTATTAAAATATTAAAATCAACCTCCTGACTGATCCGTCCAACATAGGGATATACAATCTGTAACTCAAAGTATGCAATAAACTTATAGTATAATATATATACATATATAACCTGTATGTGTTGTTTTTATTAAGATTAAAAGACTATTTTGTAAAATACTCGTATATACAAAAAGTGATGTAGCGTCAAGAATTGCTTCTTCAAGCGACTTTCATCACTTCCACAAAACGATCATTATTACAAAAATCTTTGTACGTGTGTTCATGATAGAGCTTCAAATCGGGATACTTATTTGTAAAAAATTGAACATATTCCGGATGAGTGGGATCAACCTCCACGAAGAGACGTCCGCCAGGTTTTAGTGCTTTGGCAGCGTATTTCAAGAGCGGCTTAATCACCTTCAATCCATCGTCACCGCCATCCAGCGCCCTGAGATCCTCATAACTACATAATAAATATGTTATTAATTATTTACGTATTTATAACGCGAAGTTGGCGGTCACACTTTGCGCATACATTCTTATCTCAGGCTGTAGCTCCGGTATTTTCTTCGTCGGCACGTACGGCGGATTACTGATCACAAAGTCGAACAGTCTCGAATTCAAATCCTCATTATCGGCACCATTCAAATTACTCAAAACTTCAATATTCGCATCCGATTTTAGATTCGCGTGTATTACTGTGACTTGCTCCGTTAAGTCCAGGTTGCTCCGATTTATCATCGTCAAGTCGCAAGCGTGTGGACTCGCATCGATCGCTGTGCATTTTATCTAGAAAAGCGTTATTTCATTGATTATAATCATCAGAGTCCGCTCCTAGCAGGATACAAAGTAGCTCAGCGAAATTATCATCTCGTATACCCTTTTACAAGCGTGAGCGAGAGCCAGTGACATCGCGCCCGAGCCGCAGCCGATTTCCAGGATTTTGCAACTGTCGGCTTGCGACGAACTTAGTCTTTTCAATACAAAATCTACGAGTATTTCAGTCTCCGGGCGTGGAATAAAAATCGGCGGCACAAGCTTCACGGTAATGTCCCGGAAATCCCATTCGCCGATAATGTACTGAACTGGCATCCTGCAAGGACTTGGCATTCATAAGCGAGCGCGAAGGGCTTCGCGCAGTATATGACCCAGTAGACTACAAAAGCCTCCTTTAAGGACCTCTTACCTAGACAATCGACATTCGCATAACGACTCCAATTTCTCGAGCTGACTAGCGTTGAGAGGATCATTTCTGACGTTCAAGATATCTATTATCTGTAAGTAATAAGATAAAATTAGAGAGAATTTTTTATTTGCTGATTTGGAGTTACGAGCGAAAGATCTTTATTAAAATCAAGCTTCAGTATCTTTTTAAAATCGTTTTGCAAAGTATATTTGTCGTATTATGTCTAATAATCAAATAATTAGCTTATCAATAATTATCATTCACTGAACATCAATGATCGATCACGAGATGTCACGAATGAGAGAATAGCAATATTGCTGATACCTTTTTGATTCCTATTACGTGCGCCACTATGTGCTCTATGGACTCCACTGGCTCCGGTACGCCTTCGCTCTCAAATCGGCGACTCCACTGATCGATAACGTCGCCGATCGTACATCCACGTGCGTCCGAAACAAACAAGCGTCGCGCTGGATATTTCAACGTGACACCATCGAAATTGTTATTCGTCAAACGTTGTAGGCAGGCGAAAATAACCGGTTTATTGCGAATAGTACGTGTCCTCAAGATGTTACGGCACCACATGATGCTTCATTAGACGCTACGGAAGGCAGATGCAAGATCAATCAGCTACTGACTTGCAGATTCAATCAGTTATTAACGCTGTACCAGCTGTGTCAACTGATAGACTATGAGATTCATCGGATATTGTATGTATTATAATGTTATGCGTGTTATGTACAAGAAACTGCTGCCAGCTAGCGGGATAGATGTCTGTCAAACGTTTATCGACAAGAATCCAAGACGATTGTATATTTCGATGATACAAAAAAATAAAATAAAATAAAACAACATTGAAGTAAGATGCTTTAAACATCAAAAAATTAATAAAAATGCAAACTATTTTCCACACAAGAATATACATAGTAGAGTAGAATAGTACTTTTAAAAAGTAACATTATTAATGTAAAACAATCCTATAGTTCTCCATATTTCTTATATAAACCTCTTTTCTTAAAGTAAACTAATTATATACTATTAATTACTCAATCATTTTTATTCTTAATTATTATTAAATCATATTGCTATGCGATATATCCATTGAAGCAAGCATTCAAATTCTTTCTTTTATCAAGAATCATCAGATCTACGGTTGCTTGGTTCTCCAACCGACTGACGGTGAAATCACTCTCTTTCTCCGCGGCAGCTCGGAAAGCGATGGCCGGGCGCGGTGTCAAAGACCTGGGCCGCTTTAGAAGATGCCGCTAAAGCCGTGCTCCGCCGGTGGATCGAAAGGTCTAAAAACCACGCGCACGCATGCGCCGACGCTGGAGTAGCTGTCTGGAAAAGAAGGGTGCTGGCTAACAGACCGTTGTCTGGCCGAAGGCGCTGGCAGTCGCCACCGGCCCCGCTCCCAATTCATGACTGCCATGACAGTCCTCCTCCGTGCCGCAGCGAGTGCGAGACCGAGTCGTAGTAACGCCGTTTAAAGAGCGCCGCTGTTGAACTTCCTCCTCCCCCGACTGATGCACGTACTCGCGTCGCAGCGCGTTGCACTGCGAGGAGGTCGATCTCGGAGATCCGACCTCGGCTGGGCCGTCACGGTGCTGGTGCCGCAGCGAGCTAGCACTCGCGCCTATCAGGTCGCTCGCCAGGTACCTGGGTGCACTGATCATCGGACCGGGAGCTCCGTAGGATCGTAGCGTGAGCGCGCGTCCTACGCGAGCACGCGTCGTGGTGGCTCGTGCGAATGGCGGGTGTTGTGGTGGCGGTGCCGTTGATGTGACGCGTGTCGTCTCGTGGCCGCACGCACGGCTGGCCCGCTCGCTGTCAGTTTCGGAGCACGAGGAAACGTCAGACAACAATACAAGGCAGCCGCGTTCCCGTTCTCCACCTGGGTTCGGTGGCATCGACCGATGCGGCTCGTCGAACCCCGTAGGTAGGGCTCCTTCGCCGATTAGAGCCAGCCTCGAGCCGTCGAACGGAAGGCGTGAGAGCATCGCACGCGCTCGTAGCGAAGTGTAAAGCGAGTATGCGGGGCATCGATCGCGGCGAGGCGGTCGAGACGTACCTCGTTGAAAAGGTCGCATGCTTCGGACGACTCGCCGGTGTTGCATGTAGCCTTTATCAAAAGTTTCTAGCTGTGAAGCGCTACTAAGCCGTTAAGATATCTTGGACGTTTGTTGGTCGTAGCGAGAGACGATTGAGATCTTTCGAGCGACTTGCAAAGAAAAGATTTGAATTATTTTCTCTTCTTGCAAAATTTGCTGGTAGCGATAAACCTCTCGGTGCGCTTTGCAGCGCGCACTCGATTTACGTATAACGTATATCGCGCGAATCGGAGCGAATCGGGGCATCGATCGCCCGTTGGGATTTTCAGAGCGGTTCGCTCCGAGGCGACACACCGCGTGCTCCGAAAAATTCGCCGGCTCCGAGTAATCGATCGGCACGCCTGTAGATTCGCCGGCGTAGACCGACGGGATTTACCGAGCCGCCCTTGAATGTAGCGCAAAGAACGCGGAGCAAGGTGTGGTGGAAAGCGAGTGTATGTGCGCTATTCGCTAATAACGCCGGTACTATGAACGTCACGCGCGAGAATAGATTACATGATACATTACGTCCTTCGTGTAGATATTTTTTTTTTGCCACACATCTGTCGCTCATTTCCACGCGAGCGTGATAGTTCAATGATGTAAGATCAACGTTTGCGTAATGCACTTCCGCGTCGCTCCGATTACATTTAAATTATCTCGTCCCAGACTGGTGTGCATACGCGCGAGAAAATTGTGTACGTAGGAACGCGCGCAATTAAATTTGTAGAATGTGTGCGGTTTCATTAGCAGCGGTTAATTGTCGCCTTTCTAATTTTCTACGCTCTCGCAGATCTCCTAGGACGTGCAGTTATGACTTCTTAATTGTCTTTCGCGGGGCCATGTAAATAAGCGAGTAACAAGGGGTGCAAATTGCAAGTGGTCGTTCGACGCGTCGCGTCTCGCTATTGCAGTATGGAGAAAAAAATTGCAATAACGCCCCCCCTCGTAATTGAATCCCAGATCAAACCGACCGGTCAAACGTTTCGCTCGTCAGCTCCGTTTTCACGCAATAAAGAACGCGCGTGTCGATAATCGTTTGAGGTAATCGGGCCCGATAATGCACAGGTTCGGCAACTTTCTTTATTTCTGCTGACCGCGCGGCGGCGTCACGCGACGGGCGAGAACGCGAGGGGAGCGCATTCGCGCGTTTCGCGCGCGCGAGCTTGGTGCGCGCCTCGGGAAGGAAAGAGGACAAAAAAATGCCTCCCCCCCCCATCCCTCGTTCGCGCCTCGCGGTGAGTCGACCGAACGCGTGCACCGAACAACGGTTGCGTTATCGCCGCTTTTTTTACGCCGCGCCGTCGCCCCGTTTCCGCATACCTCGCGGTATCGAATCACATGCCGGAAGCAATGTCCGGCCATTGCGAAGAAGCGTTTCGGTTCACGCCCTTGCATGGTACGCGCGCGTACCACATCCGGGCGACCTCCGAGATTGGCGCTAATCGGATCGTCGAGAAGATAGATTCCGGAAGTGCGCAATCCACAAATTCTTCATTCTGCGCGCCGAGCGCTTCGCGGAAGCGAGCGTTGCACCGCGCACGTTCCAATCTCGATCACGATCGATGAAACCGAGCTCCGCGGATCGTTCGTTAAATTACAAGCTATATGCAGCATTCGTTAGCGATCTTAGAACATATATTAATATATGTTCTTATTTAGCGATGCACCTCGCGTATACGTACTAACGTTTCTTTGGATGAATTTCTAGGGGACGATCACGAGGGCAACTCGATGAATGCCGCGCCGTTGCCGGTCGATAGGGTGCACCGGTGCGCTGTGGGGCGAGCCGGGGCATTGGGAGAGCCTTCCTCGGACGGACGACGCGGCCCGCTCCGAAACGAATTGTGACAGACAGCCGCCGCTTTTCGAATCGTCGTGAGTGCCGGGCATCGCGGCGGCGGTGACGAAGCGATGCGCGCGACTCCGCGTGTCTCGCACGGCCAATAGCGGTCGATCACGCGCGAGTCGCGGCAAAAGTTCACTTATTTTGATAGACGGTGCTGCGTGATCACGGTGATACATAACACATAGCATATATATACACACACACACACACACACACATATACATATATGGATATATGCTACGAGGTGCAAGAAATCAAGACTGTCCGCGATCGCGTCGTGTAGGGCCAATCGAGAAATCGAGAAACGAGATATCGTATGTTGTCTCTTTCTCGTGTTCGCGTTCTTGGGACGTTTAGCGAGTGAAGAAGATGTTTAACTTTATGAAGAAGGCCGCGGAGAAGGACGACAAGGAGAAGCGGAAGCGCGAGAAGAAGGAGCGGAAGGATGTCAAGAAGCGTGATCGCAGCAGCATGTCCGCGGAGGAGCTTCTGCGATTGGATGAGGTAAATGCAAGAACTTTCATTAGAAAATACTCCTGCTTTGCTGTAATCCATTTCCCTTTTCCTGATGCAAAACCATAACAAATTATTACAAACTATATTATTTATCTTAATCGCAAGTTTTGTCAGTCGTTTAATTTTTTATATTGAGCTCATAACGGATGCGCACTTGGTTATCGCGTCCTCCGATGACAAGATGGGTGTACATTGATATTGCTTACAAATTCATGAGCTGCACGAAGTTACCGATATCTTGTTCGGATTACATTTCTTATCGGCATAAAACGGGGCTGTCAATATCACGTGGCGATAACGTTTCCCAGTGGCTTTCTTCTCAAATTGATATTATTAATAAATTGTATAGATTTAAAAGACGTGTGTATTTATAGTCATGACATTATAAAGAACTCAATCGGTCGGTATTTTTTTTTAGATATAATATTTAGATAGAAATAAAGAGCGTAGAAAGCGATAAGATTTCCTCTTGAAAGGCTTCTTTTCTGTAGATTTAATATCGTCGCCAATCGGATGTGGTTTCACACGATAAGAAGTGCTGGTCTCGCATACTCGTTGCACATTAACGAAAAATAAGAATTGCAAAATTGTTCTGCGATATGGACAACACGTCGTTGCAATCGCACCATTCAAAGAACAAAAGAAATCTCTTGAAAAAATTCGTAGGATTCTGCATGGTACATATTTTCGGTGCCGCTGAAAGGCTTCCTGAAAACGTCTTGTCATTTTTACGCGCTTTGTTGCAGGTCCGTAGGTCATTGAAAATTCCCGGTCGTCGGAAGGAGAAGGAGAAGTTGCCCAGTGGTATCACCGCGGACTACAGCGCGTCGTTTTTCGCGCATCTGGACCGCGATCTTCTGGACGCGACGCAGAACGCGGGGCCGTGCTCGACGTTCAGCGCCGGTGCCAGCAGTTGGGGCATCAAAACGCCCGACGGTCTGATGCAGAGCGACTCGTCGGAGGCGTCTCTCACCTCGCTGACGACGACCACGACCACGTCGTCGACGACGACGAGTCACGCCGGCGTTCAGTCCGGCGGCAAGTGTCTACCGCCGTTGCCGCCGAAGCCGCCCAAGCGGGGAATCCTCAAGGGGCCGCGACTGACCGTCAACAGTTCCAGCGTGAACGTTCTCTCGGAGGAGAACGCGTTGCCGAATGGCACCGAAAACAGTTACCAGGAGGCCAGCAATCTGCTGGTAAGAAACACTCTTCAGAACGAGGTGATCACCTACCAGAACGTACCGGCGCATCTCAACAGCGTTCTGAGCAAGGACGATTACAGCGAGGAGGAAACGTTGTGTCAAACCGCGTGGCACATCTCCGTGCCGCAACACACAATTCATCAACAATACCAACAACAACAGCAGCAGCAGCAGCATCATCAAATCGACGCCAAATTGCTTCAGGTTAGATAACGTTCCGCTTTCTCTTCCGCGCATCGGCTGTGGCCCGAACCCGATTATTAGGATCATTTCCGAAACGTGTAATGAGATGCCAAGTGATGGGTTGCCGGTTTGTTTAAAATTTGACGTGATCCGACATCGATAGAAGGTCCCGCGAAATAAAGCAAGCGAGATCAAAATATATCTCTTGTAATTTGTTCGTGCGATCGTAGAATAAATTTTTCGTAAATATGTTCATAAACGAATTTTTTCAATTAAAATTCTGTGCAAATAACTTTTATTAACTATTTACTTACTTTGAATTTTGGTAATAAATGCTCTCTAAATTTTTTGGAGTAAATCTCACTCGAAAAGATTGAAAATACTGCCACTCGGCTACTTGAGTGACAGTATTTTCTTTTGGAGTGAAATTCACTTCAAAAAAGTGAAAAGTCACTCCAGAAAATTTAGAGAGTGTGCTACAGATATTAACTTTCATTAATTATTATTTTAATTTAAACACTAATAATAAATATGTTGTGTTTTATAATTCATTTTATAATTCTTATAGTTTCATTTACACATTTTTTAAAATCATGCATAAATCAATGCATAAATAAATAATAAATCAGCAATAAATTTTTAATGCGTAAACGAGATATTTCTCCATTACATTCAGGTCGTTACCAGTGCTAGTCCATCCGCGGATTCCTTGACGGACACGACGAATTCGAGTTTCGCGACGCCGCCGTTCAGCCTGTCGCCCGTCGGCGAGTCCCAGGGTTTCTCGAGGTGGCGGTCGTCGGTCTCGTTCGAAGAACAGGGCATCGAGCTGCAGCTTCCGGAGATCGTGCCGCTCGAGTTACCCGAGCCCCGGGAACTCACCATCCAGCGGCAACCTCCGCCGCGAAACGATTTCGGCTTCTCGCTTCGTCGCGCCGTGATCGTCGAGCGGGCGGCGAACGGCGTCACGCAGATGAGACCGGTGATTTTCGCCGAACCTGGCGCTCTGGTGCAGCACAACAATGACACGGGTCTATTGCCCGGTGACAGACTGATCGAGGTCAATGGGATCAATGTGGATGACAAGTCGCGCGAGGAGATAATCGATCTCATCAAGAGCTCCGCCAGCAGCGTCACCGTAAAGGTAATCCTCATATCAATTATCATATACACTTATTAAAAAAAAAAAAAAAACATATTCGCACTCTCATCTTTTTTTGGGAACAGTTTTGAAGGAAGAAAAAAATTTAAAAAGAAAATTACTATACAACTTAATACATGTTAGAAATACTTCGCGATAATACGTATTTCTCTTTCCTGTCTATAAAAAAAAAATTTCATAGGGTGTTCAAGAGTACATTTTTTTAATCTAGATTCTATACTCGTGTTAGCGTTCTCATCATGTGACTGATGCCTTTGTAAATCATCGGTTGAATAATGAGAAACTGGGAAGTCGGAGCGTACATTGAATATTGCGCAAGCGATAGTATTCTCTATACCTCATACTTTTCTCTTCTGTAGACCGGTCGTGTCCCCGCGTACTCTGCGAACGAAACCTTTCTCTTGCCGCACGCGGAGCAAGCTTATTAACATAAATCTGATGGTATTTACCGGAAAGCAGCCACTCTAATAATCGAACGCGGCGAGATGTAACGACAGACACCGCGACTGCAACGACCTTACATTCGATTATCAGTTGTCAATGATTTGCTTATCGCCTTTCGTTAAACACTTACGTCTCGTTATCGCGTTTGTCACCGGTTAACCTTGAAATCTTTGAAAAATATCGTTTGAAAAACGAGTGCACGTTGTTCGCTATCATATACAGGGAAATCCGTGCCGCACGTGGTGAAAGGCGTCGGTGGAATCCTTAGGTTCTTCGGAGGTCATAGAAAGGGGTCGGAGTGTCGTTCCATAGACCTTTGATACATAGCGGCGAAATGCACTGCGTTCTAATCAATAAAGCGCCGACTATCGCGCAATTCTTTTCGTTTTAATTTCAAATAGAACGTGAGGAAGCTATAAATGCCGAATACATTATTTTTATTTCTTGTCGAATATAAGATCGAAGTCTGTGCTCCCGCATTTTCTGTTCGCATAGACAACAACATTGTATGACGTTAAGTAGCAATGGTACATGTGCTACGAAAACTAACATTATTTTCATTGATGTTCGACCGCCGCGTTTTTCTGACGCGCATCGCATTATGTCGCTATTCTTATTTTCAACGAGAAATGAGTGACCAGCCGCGAACGGGCAAAAGGTGCGGGCGGGCACTTGGTAGGGCGCAAATGATTGCGGCGCGATGTCGGCCGGTTCATTGCCACTGCTGGCAACGAATATAGCGGGATCGTGAGTCACGGTCCCCGCTAATAAAACTGTACTCGAGACACGAGGGACGGTCGTGTGAAAATAGCAGGCTTACCGAGAATCCGATCTTCTTCCATCGTCACCGTCGAGCAAATCGACCACCACGACGCGCGCGCGCCTCATAAAGAGGGGCCAACTCCGCGGGCCCTGGGATCTCTGGAGAACGGAGATGTAAAAGTAAAAAGGGGTCTACGGGCGGGAGGAGGAGATGCCCAAGCGTGTCTGACCTTGCCCCGTAGCCGCGGAATGCTAAAAATGCCGCCGCGTTCCCGCGGCCAGAAACGAAATGTGTAATTCCGTCCGTTGCGCGCGCGCACCGTTCTCCCTTTCACTCCTCACGCTTCCTCACGCGCGCAGAATGTAATCTCCGGGGGTGGATTGAATGGTTAAATTCGGGGATTGCGTGCGTGAACGCGCGTCAGAAAACGCGTCCGATGAAACGCAACGCGTGCGTTTCCGTATTGCACTGTGCATTTCTTTGAAGAGCGATGACGAAACGTTTCTCGGAGAAAACGGAGCTACGAGCATGCAGAGACCCATGTAGAGACCCGACAAATGGATAATATCTTTGCGTGTGGATACATGATCGAGTTTATTTGTCTAAAAATTAAGATACTTAAGCACCCATTTCGATGCACAACCATTTCAGAATCCAAGCATGTAAATATCCGGAAATAGCGGGCACGTAAGAGAATGAGAGGAAGAGAAAGGAAATGAGCGTAAGAGAGCGAGAAAGAGAGAGAGAGAGACGCAGAGGGGGAGAAACCGGATGTAATTCACTCACAAATCGAGCACATTATATGCTACATACAGGGTGTACCAGAATTCGTATACTTTTTGCTAGAGATTCTTCCTTCAGGAATCTTAGAGAGAGATTGCGTTTATTTTTCAACTTTAACTTGCGCGGCATCTTACTTAATAAGCTACGTCTTTCAAATCTGAAAATATCGCGTGCAGCCGTCCTGGTGTATCAGAGCGTGAAGATACCTGCTTTAATTCGCAATTCTCATTTATCATCGCGGTAACTCCGTGGATCTGAATGGCCGTCGAGGCAAGCGGGAAATACTGACCGGGGAAGGTTGCATCTACCGGGTGTCGTTGGTCCCAATGCGTTCGTAAAGGACTCGATCCTCGCTTCTCCGTCCTCCCCCCCCC